AACAAGGTCAACATACGTTATCACGACGAAGTAATATCATGACAGGTTGGGCGATGGTGACTACGATTACAAATTATACGAACTAATAAAAACTTCATATTAATCACTAAAATCGGCGACTTTTTTGTGAGCTCTTTTCATTCCCCCTACATCGAAAACCTGGATACGCCTCTGACCACGACCATTAATGTTCTATTACCTGTGAGAGAATCATCAGCATCGTCCCAATAAGACGGACAACTCTTGACTCAAATCTGACCTCCAAGTACTGAACGGTGAGAGAATGAAAACAGTATAGAATGTTACTTGAAATGTAATGCGAAAATAATTGTTAGATATAGTTCAATAAACTCCACACCTCTCTAGAGATATTATGTTTAATATACAGATAATCTACTGTAGCCGATGTTCCTCTAACAACTATTCATCGTGCTATGTGTAGTGATTACTGTTCATACGTGTAGTTTTATGTGTAGTAATTACTGTTCATACGTGTAGTTTTATGTGTAGTGATTACTGTTTATACGTTAGCTTTATGCTGCCACGATAACTGATTGGGTTATTGAATCCATTTAATTTTTACAAACTGAACCACCCCCCCATCTCCATCCTAATTAGATGTAGGTTGTGTTTGAGGCTATATTCATTTTATTATCTGCAAACTTTTTTTGTAATGTAACGTTGACCTAGATAGTCGGTTTTAGTTACAGATGTAACTAAGTATAATCAGGGAAGAAATCAGAGGTGTTTTTTTTTTAAATTACACAATTTATATTGTGTCGTTCACTGCAAAGTCAACCATGATCATATTTACTAATGAATTTTATATATATATATATATATATATATATATATATATATATATATATATATATATATATATATATATATATATATATATATATATATATATATATATATATATATATATATATATATATATATATATATATATATATATATATATATATATAATTCAATATTTTCTACTTCGCTTACTCTGTTTGGAAATTTATTTATGTTTATTTTTAAAACTTGAGCACAATGTTGACATCAGTACGAGACAGCCATTAGCTGGACTGTATTTTTTGGGGACAAATGATATGGACAGGTAACTCTTTTTTTGGACATTTTACCTCGAATGCGCTGGTCAGATATAATGGATACAATAGGTACAAAGATGACAGCAGCCAGCACAATACCAAGCATGATACCAAACGTGCCCAGATAAAACTCGGTTCCCTGTGTTAGAGGGAACATTTTTTATTAAATATGTAAGACAGGTTATTAGAAATAAGAGTAATTAAATTTACGTTCATCGATTTTTAAAAGTGTAAGCAACAAACACAACCTGTGTATACATTTCTGCAGGGGTGCCAAGAATCAAGATGGCTGACATGAATGAGGCCAGAATCGAAATAGCAACTGGAACGATGGATAGGCTTCTGTTTCCCATCAGATATTCCACTAGATTCGATATAAAAATGTGATATTTGATATAAAAATGTGAAGTATATCTTTGATATACAAAGATAAAGATCGTGCTTATGACACAAGAGATAACAGAATCACATGAAGATTGTTAGTCAGGTCGTAGAGAAATTGTTAGTGACATGATGGGCTAGAACAATTTTTACACCTGGCTCCACTATATATATATATATATATATATATATATATATATATATATATATATATATATATATATATATATATATATATATATATATATATATATGTATATGTATATATATATATATATATATATATATATATATATATATATATATATATATATATATATATATATATATATATATATATATATATATATATATATATACATATATATAGGTATATATATATATATACATATATATAGGTATATATATATATATATATATATATATATATATATATATATATATATATATATATATATACATGTATATTTAAAATAATTAAAATAAGTTTTGGTGTTACAGAATGAACCCCATCAATTTAATGTTGCACTATTTTAATGCTTAAATAGTTTATGAAGTAACTTTTAATTTAAAACAAGCTTCCAACTTTATGACAATAAACTTTGAAATAAATGGAATTTCAACTCATGGAAGTGTTTTGAAGGTTCGCTAATCTTTAACGCTACAGGTCATGTCGTTTTTTTTTGTGTGAAGTAGATATATTTGTTTTTTTACAAAGTTATTTTTTTGTTTTTATTCCGCCCCTGTTAAGGCAACAAACTGAAGAAATAATTAATACAGATATATAAAAAGGGGGGTAATTTTCAAACCAACGAAAACGGGTCAGATTTTATTGTCTCCCTGTGACTAGTTTATCTTACTTGTGTCCCCTTACCTTGTATTCTATATTTGTCTCCCTTAACCTTGTATTCTATATTTATCTCCCCTTACCTTGTGTTCTCTGTTTGCCTCCCCTGAGAGCGAACCAAACTCCTATAGCCATTGATATGATCAACATGGCGGCAAAGACGACATAGTCGACAGGGCCGAAGGAGTTCTTCACCACAACCATTTTGGTCTAGTTCAGCTGTAAACGATGAGTTATTTATAGCGTTCAATTAATTTATTAATGCAACTAATATGACATGAGCTAAACACAAACAAGTAATTTAAAACACCATCTAAATCACTAAGCTAAATCAACAACTAAACAGACATGAATGAAATGAAGCCAAATGACAAAGCTAAATCAACAACTAAACAGATATGAATGAAATGAAGCCAAATTACAAAGCTAAATCAGCAACTAAACAGACATGAATGAAATGAAGCCAAATACAAAGCTAAACCACTTAACAAAAAATGAAATGGACATGTGTTTGACACAACCACACCAGACGACACAGGCTAGTGTTGTGATGTCCTATCATGCTTTATCTGCTGGTCAGTGTAATTAGTGCAGCAGGGGTTACATGTTTTAAATCATTAACGCCTTGATTACGTAACGACAGACAATCAGATGAAATACGTGGCCTAGTACCACCACACCGATTTGTTCCATATGAAAGTTTCTGCTGTGCAAATAAATGGCTGACAAAAGGTCCATTTAGTGATGAAACACTAGCAGTTCAACATGTGATATCAAACGACCTCACTCAAAATATCCAACTAGAGGTTTGAAACTTGGTATCGTCATTCCTGGCGTTGGCTTTGGGACACCTAAATAGTAGTTTTACATTCTTACATTTAAAAGTCTCCCTAATATACAGACGTGTGTCTCTCTGAACCTTTCTACACCTCTCCAACACACAGACGCGTACCTATCTGACGCCCCCAATACACAGAACTACTTTTAAAATTTTCACTCCGTAGCAAACTTACCCTTACTTTTATTATTGAAATACTGCGCGTGGTTGCGTATCGTTTTGTACTTAACTTTTCAGTAAACAAACTTTGAATACAATAAGAGCACGGGCCACTTTTTGCGAGCTTAAATTTAATGCACGTACGCAGATCAATTACCTCCTCTAAATTACCACCCTGTATAATGACCCCATTACACAATACATATACCCGTAAGTATCCCTTTCTTTCCCCTAAGCCATCTTCAAATCCCTAACGCAGTTGTTAACCGAAACCATATGCTTATCCTTAATCTTGACGATATCCATTTTCCTTACCGTTACAGTTACCGTTATCGTTGTCGTTACTGTCATCGTTACCATCGCCGTTACCGTATCCGTTGCTGCTGTCCTACTGCAGTTTTTGGGTCGGTAGGTGGGGGAAGGGGGTGGTAATTGAACTTAGGGTAATGACGTTGGTAAAATGAACCATAACACTAACGGGAGGGGAGTAATGTCCAGATCTTCTTTAAGAATCTTCTGCCCATGTAAAGTTATGTAACATCGCCTTAGGCCACAACACCACTTTTTAATTTATTTTGGTCGTTCTACCCCCCCCCCCCCCCCCCACCCATAGACACAAAAAACGACTTAATTTAAACAAAATATGGATTTTAAAAAAAATGAGATAAAATCGCGTCGTTTTAAAGACTGATGTTACTACTTTAAAACTTTAAAACTTTTTAAATTTTGCATTCCAATTTAATTATAGCAGCAGTTGTATTTAATTCCTGACCCTGCTGCGTCCATTTAGAAGTTAAAATTAAGGAGTAAAACGGTTCAATGTTTAACCCCTTAATGTGACATTTCTGAGGATCAGGTATTTTTCCAGGTCTACATTGAGATTGCGCTTATTTTCCCATTAAAATGTGAGAGAATTTCGTCAAGAACAATTTCTCTGCAATTTCCCTGCAAGTACCCTAATAGGTACGAGGAATAAACCAACCAAACAACCCCCCCCCCCACTTTGCTTTTATACATACAGATAAATACAATTTTTTAGGCCTACATTATTTAATTTGTAAAAGAAACAAGTTATAAATGTTGAATGAATTTTTCCTTTTAATTGAGACTTCTAATTTACTTCCGCCTTTAAATACAATTTAGTGCCACATCCATTTTTAAAAGTAAACTTCCCTTATATAACACTGGAATTGTATAAAAATGTACATGGTGCAGATAGGAGTGTTAGATGTCCATTAGCTATTGGCAATGAAACCTGTCAGACAGCACTGATGTAACAGAAAGTATATAAATATAAATGTAACTTTTATAACACATTCATAATTTCAGTGGGCGATATTATAATGCATGTCTTCTAAATAAACCCAAGGAAAATCTCAGACGCAAATGATACTCTCATTCTTTTTTAACAGAGCTCGGCAGTAGATCGAGTCATATTTGACACACCCGATAGTATGTATAAAACAGCCGTAGCTTACACAGGAATGACATTGACAATCGTTTAAGTGATACTTGCAACCAACAGAGGCGCTTGATGAGCGCACACAAATAGCCAACACTATGGTCTATATAATGAGTATGGTCTTCTTATATTTTAGACTTTAAAGAATAATGTGTGTAGGTGGAGCAAGGTTGAACGTAGAAGATTTCGATTTCTTTGGTGTATGTAGTATTTTGATCAGTTGGCTTGTCAAAAATGCTTTGTCGGTATTTCAGTGATGTAAAAGTTTTGCTAAAATGTTATGAGGCATCCAATAACACTTGTAAAAATAATTCTGGAGAAAATGTGTCGTGTAGTCTAACGTGACAGGCAGATGTTAGATGAAGGGTTACCTTCTATCATTGAGGAATTTCAGATTTTAAGCCGAATTTCAAAACAATATGAGAAATTCAAAAACATACATTTTCATCACGATTTATTATGTTTCAATGATACTACTAAAGCTTGTTTATAAAACATAACACATAATTACAACAACAAAATTATTTTGTTTTTTAGATTTTGACTAAGACGACGTGAGTCTTTATGCCTTCTTTGTCTATTGGGTGTGTAGAAATACGTTCTGTATTCACGTAAGTACCGTTAGAAATTCCATGGTTATTATCTGAACGAGGATGATACACAGCTGCCATCTGCATTAGCTCTGGGTCCACACCAACAGCAGATACGTGCTTGACATCATGGGCTGTGGTAGGTCAAACAGTCATTTGATCATCACAAAGTCACAACAGACTTATTATAGACATAGCTATATTAAATAGTTGGGACGTGACATATGAAAATACATGAGCAATTTAAATACCAGTTAGATAACAATGACCTTTGACTTACCCATTCTCTGGTCATCAGAAAGAAAACCAACATTTGTAACACGTTCTTTGATTGGTGGAGCTGTGATGATAATTTCTTTCTCTTCTGATACCATGTCCTGTAACACACGCATATATACACTTGATAATGCTCTTCACACAATAGAGATAAACAAGTAGACTTATTACTGTAATATACCTGTAACAGAACCTCAATCAATGAAATAGTTCCTATGGTTTACCTGAGGTCTCTGAAAGTGTCTGTAACAATTGAGAAAATGAAGCCATGAGTTGGGCAAACAACAACACAGACGTGTGAAGACAGGGATCTGATATTTGGTTGGGACGTCATTGGTTGAATTGGCTCCTGCTCATGACAGAAAGAGATCAGCTACCAAAGTTTTATAACACAGACAGACATTCTTGTATACAGTCAGCGCTATATCATTGAGAGAATAACAGAGCAGTTACCTGTAATAAAACTCACGATCAGTCCTACCACTATCACACACAGCAAGCCAATCGTAGAGAACCACATGTAAGATATTCCGTATAACATGTGAATTCCCTCTCTGGAAAACGAAGAAAATTTTAGCTCAAAAATTAAAATGTGGACGAGGTTCTACCGGCCACATCTTTACAAGCACTGTGAATTTCTTATAAAATTACTACATGCCTCTCATTTTCTATTGGAAAAGGTACAGCAGACACCAGTGACAGTGTAGAGGTCAAGGTTGTGACAGGTGTAGTGTTTATTACAGGTGTTATAGTCGACACATTGAAATATGCAGCACACGTCCCGTTAGGAAATGACTTTGGAGGTAGACGTATGCCGTAGACATAGGAGCCAATCGATAACCAGAGACTCAGTGCTACAGCAACTAGAGCTCCTGATATGGCGCCCTGTGATAGAAACACAATCAAGTCAAGTCAGATTTCTAATTCTAAACAAAAGTAGTTCAACAGATATGGCTCCCTGTGATAAAACTAGTAAAAAATTAAGACACGACAATGAACAACAAAATTTTTACACCAAAACGTACGGAAACTCGGAATACAACAGAAATATTAAGACGTAAATCAAACTGGAACTGCTACATTAAAGTTCTAATTCATTAAATAAATCCAGGGAATCATAAAGCACACAATACCACCAATACAAAACAATCTAAATTAAAATATTGGGAACAGTGTTTCTTCCAGACTTTTTTCTCCGGGGGGTGGTAAACTTTCTTCGAGGGGGGGGGGCGGACACTGTATATATTTTCTATATAAATTATATAAATTTCATTTCGTTCGGGGATGCCTGGAAGAAACTCTGATTGGGAAAAAACGTGGGAAGAAACTTTTTGACAGCTAATTCACACTCTCATTTTTATGCACAGTAAATGCACTGCTGATGTTTATAAAAATTTACAACCTAGTTAACCCCAACAAACCTGTCAATGAAGTGCACGGTCAAACACGCAGGCTTATTCTTTAGACCACTGGTTCAATGCTGATATAAGGCATGGAAAGTTTGCTTTTCTTAAAGTTATTTAACATTCACACATCATAACACACACAGTAGGTTGTGGTGAGCATAGCGATACTTACATAACTGTTGGCCCAAGGGAAAAATGCTCCCAAAATAAACATTCCAATCAACGGTCCCATTACAGATCCACTTAAAGAAAAGGACGCCTAGTACATAATATATATATATATATATATATATATATATATATATATATATATATATATATATATATATATATTTATATTTATATATATATATATATATATATTTATATATATATATAAGATATACACACAATTGATACATACAAATGTCAATTTAAGAACGGCATTGTTATTAGTGTATTATTAAACCACGACGGAAATTTTGCTCTAAAGAAAGTAACTTCAACAACCGAAGAACAATCGCCAGAACCCAATAAAGATCACAGTAACAGAGCAAAACTTACCTGCACCACAGTCCCGTCTAATATTTGAGCTAAAAAACTGACGCCGATGGCCAGACATCCGTAGATGGCGACTGAAAACAAAACAAATAGAAAACTTTTTCATTTTAACCATACAACTGGTATATTATTATTTTATACACATTGTAAGCATGCACTTAGTCTCATACATATATGTAAATCTTTTCGTTCTTTGTTCTTAATTGTTTGTTTGAAATGTATTTCATCCAACACAATAAAGTATTACGTGTCAACATAGACCGTTGACTCCGATTTTAGCCTAATTTGTTTTTAGATTTTTATTTCCATAGCCTTTGTCCACCTAAGAGCAAAGTACTAGGCAGCAGCTTTTTGATTTAGGAGGTTTTTTTTCTCCAAGATGGGATATTATTTTCAGCTATCTAGCCTCATCTGTCCGGGTGTTCGAACTCGGGACTTTCCGGTTTAGCAGCCTTGAGTTTTACCTGCCCGTTTACGCCGACACATTTCTGTATAAAAATACCTGTAGCTGTGGTGACAAAAGTCTTCTGATACTCTGTATAAAAATACCTGTAGCTTTGGTGACCAAAGTCTTCTGATACTCTGTATAAAAATACCTGTAGCTTTGGTGACAAAAGTCTTCTGATACTCTGTATAAAAATACCTGTAGCTTTGGTGACCAAAGTCTTTTGATACTCTGTATAAAAATACCTGTAGCTTTGGTGACCAGAGTCTTCTGATACTCTGTATAAAAATACCTGTAGCTTTGGTGACCAAAGTCTTCTGATACTCTGTATAAAAATACCTGTAGCTTTGGTGACTAAAGTCTTCTGATACTCTGTATAAAAATACCTGTAGCTTTGGTGACTAAAGTCTTCTGGTACTCTGTATAAAAATACCTGTAGCTTTGGTGACTAAAGTCTTCTGATACTCTGTATAAAAATATCCGTAGCTTTGGTGACCAAAGTCTTCTGATACTCTGTATAAAAATACCTGTAGCTTTGGTGACCAGAGTCTTCTGATACTCTGTATAAAAATACCTGTAGCTTTGGTGACCAAAGTCTTTTGATACTCTGTATAAAAATACCTGTAGATTTTGTGACTAAAGTCTTCTGATACTCTGTATAAAAATACATGTAGCTTTGGTGAACAGAGTCTTCTGATACTCAGTATAAAAATACATGTAGCTTTGGTGACTAAAGTCTTCTGATACACTGTATAAAAATACCTGTAGCTTTGGTGAGTAAAGTCTTCTGATACTCTGTATAAAAATACCTGTAGCTTTGGTGACCAGAGTCTTCTGATACTCTGTATAAAAATACCTGTAGCTTTGGTGACTAAATTCTTCTGATACTCTGTATAAAAATACCTGTAGCTTTGGTGACTAAAGTCTTCTGATACTCTGTATAAAAATACCTGTAGCTTTGGTGACTAAAGTCTTCTGATACTCTGTATAAAAATACCTGTAGCTTTGGTGACCAAAGTCTTCTGATACTCTGTATAAAAATACATGTAGCTTTGGTGTCTAAAGTCTTCTGATACTCTGTATAAAAATACCTGTAGCTGTGGTGAAAAAAGTCTTCTGATACTCTGTATAAAAATACCTGTAGCTTTGGTGACTAAAGTCTTCTGATACTCTGTATAAAAATACCTGTAGCTTTGGTGACTAAAGTCTTCTGATACTCTGTATAAAAATACCTGTAGCTTTGGTGACCAGAGTCTTCTGATACTCTGTATAAAAATACCTGTAGCTTTGGTGACTAAATTCTTCTGATACTCTGTATAAAAATACCTGTAGCTTTGGTGACTAAAGTCTTCTGATACTCTGTATAAAAATACCTGTAGCTTTGGTGACTAAAGTCTTCTGATACTCTGTATAAAAATACCTGTAGCTTTGGTGACCAAAGTCTTCTGATACTCTGTATAAAAATACATGTAGCTTTGGTGTCTAAAGTCTTCTGATACTCTGTATAAAAATACCTGTAGCTGTGGTGAAAAAAGTCTTCTGATACTCTGTATAAAAATACCTGTAGCTTTGGTGACTAAAGTCTTCTGATACTCTGTATAAAAATACCTGTAGCTTTGGTGACTAAAGTCTTCTGATACTCTGTATAAAAATACCTGTAGCTTTGGTGAGTAAAGTCTTCTGATACTCTGTATAAAAATACCTGTAGCTTTGGTGACTAAAGTCTTCTGATACTCTGTATAAAAATACCTGTAGCTTTGGTGACTAAAGTCTTCTGATACTCTGTCAACCTGTGATCGTATCTGGGCTTCAGCACATCTTCCCAAGTGATGGCTCCTAGTGCATTCAGTGAAGACGACACGGAGCTAAACAAAGTCGAGACAGAGCTTAGACATTGGACAAAGATATTAGGCTGTCTTACAAAATTGGAAATAAAACTAAAGCATTTGACACTGCAAACAAAAAATGTAAAAAAGTGGGAGTGAGCTAACAAAACATTCTCTAATCTTCGTATTTACCAGGAACGGTTTGATCGGCACTTCCTGTTGAATCGGGCTGTAAAATTTGAAGGTAATGCTGCTTTATGAGTATTTTATATAAAAACTATAATATGCCAAAGGCTTTGGGGAGTTGAAAATAAAGTACTACTGGCGAATATTGAGAACCAATTTTAAAAAATGAGAATCCGGAAATAAACTAAGTCTTTAGTGTTACTGCTGTTTACACGAAAACAATAATATGCGAGAAACGTCTAAACAAACCGGACTGACCGATTTGGTAAAATCTTGATTTAAATTTTTTTTTTTCTATAATTTAGTGAAAGTAAAATTGACGTATAAAATCTAGACTCGGGTGTGAAGTCACCTTAAAGCTCCAGAGAACAAACAAGCTATAAATAGTCCAGGAACTCCAGGGTATCCCAAAGTCTCCATCACAAAGTAGGGAACTAGCTAAGAACAAACAAGATATAGTGGCAAACTTAATCAAACTGAACGATATGGCAACACTACATTTAATGCACATAAAATGCACATTGTTGTTAACCTTGTTTTGTATGTCCTGTTGAGGCTGACATTTTTTATCAATAGTTTAAGTCTAAGGTTAGATTTTAAAAATCTATTGATATAGTGTGTTGTGATAAACTAGACGGAAATCATTCACGTTCGCTGATCAATTTTAATAGATTTAATGTTTACCTAATTTCCCCACCCCCTCCCTCCCACCAAACACTAACCTGATTGGAGCTCTTGACCAGCTTCTGACCCAGAGGATTACAGTTTTGATTGGCGTAATAAGCGAAGATGACAACACCAGAGAAACAGGTCAAGGTCAACAAAATGAACACACCCAGGATGTTGAGCAACACTGACCTGTTAAACATAACAAATTATGTCGACATTTGTGTAAAACCTTGAGACAGTGCCAATACAACTTTCTGAAATTATTCTTCACTAGACTTATATTTCCTGCGTTTAACATAAATGTTTAATTATAGATGATAGTCAACTTTCAAAGGGATTTAAATATTTAAGACTATTTCATTGGGCGTATCTCAACTTTTTAAAAACAGATTTTCGGTACTATCAGATCATGTAAGAAATATACACTTTTTATGGAAACAAAGTTTTCATTATTGCATTTTATTTTAACATCGTAAATAAAAATCTAAGCTTTATCAAACGAAATAAACCAACTACATAACAGTGATAAAAGTTAGGACTTTTGTCCCCTACAACAAAGCACAGTATTACAGAACGGCACAAAAAAAGCAACATTCGATATTTTAATAAATAGTATTTTTTTTACTGAGGCTGTAAATATAAAATCTTTTTAATTCATATTCCTTTAAATTAAAAAAAGGTAATACAATTTAATTCAACAAGGGGGCAGGGATACTGGAAAATTAATTTCCTTAATACTTGACAGAAAACAATAATATGTCTACAGCGTTATGCGGGTACATAATGTATGTGTTTCCAATAAAACTATTTGGTGGCGGAATATTGATAACTATAACAAGAGTGGACATCTTGTTAAATTAACCTATTGGTAGGATCCAAACACTACACAAAGTATTATAATTTAATACTAAAGAATGCATTCATAATATGCTAGGTTTTAAGTAGGCCTACTCAGGAACAGTTTTCTTCCAGACTTTTTTACTCCGGGGGTGGGACTTGAAATTTTGGGTGGGGGGGGCGGTAGACTTTCTTCGGGGGGGGGGGCGGACACTGTTAAAAGTATATATTTTCTATACAAATTATATAAATTACATTTCGTTTGGGGGACGGTAGAATTTTTCGGGCAAGCCCCCCCCCCCCCACACCTTACCCCCCCCCCCCCCCCGAAGAGATGCCTGGAAGAAACTCTGCTCAGGAATATTTTTTAGTGTAAACTAATTTATTGTGAATTTTTAAAATGTTGTGTCCAATAAAAATATTAAATAGCTGTTATAGCAAGCATGTAGGCAAATCTCCGCATTAATCTTCTTAACACAAATAAACTCTGTGTGTAATCAAAACATTCCAGACATTGCTTACGTCATGGCTTTACGTAACGTCGGCAGACTGTTGTATCGCTGGACGCTGGACTGGTTGACCCCGTACGTCCCCATCCATTTTAAAGCTGTCCCAAGCACAAGGTTCCAGAATGTGTGACGTGTCATCGGGTTAGGGTCAAAACTGGAGCATTCAAACATTTTTTGTTGAAATGGCAAAGTTTATAAATGTAATTATGATCTGGACAAAAAATAATTAATAACAAGAATTTAGTAAACCTACTTAAAGAATTTGATCCTGCCCCACTCCTCATTGATCTCCCACACACGTGACATACCACCAACTTTTAGAGTACCCTGAAACAACAGGTCAAAGGTTATAACGACATGACCAAATCCTTCAAATCTAAATCAAATTCTTCTGAATGCTAAAAGCACAATTGACATAAACCAACCTGAATGACAATGGCCAAAATACCAGCCAGCATTATCACCGATTGGAAGACATCTGTCCAGATTACAGCCTTCATACCTCCCTAAAACAGTTTGAGTATATATATATATATATATAAATAAATAAATATATATATATATATATATATATATATATATATATATATATATATATATATATATATATAAGAATTGTTTAGTACTTTGTATTGATTGTAAGGATTGTATATATATATATACATATATATATATATATATATATATATATATATATATATACGCTGGTTGTGCCATTTATATTGCCATCCACCAGACTTACAATTGTAGTATAGAGCGTACCAACAGCTCCAATACTTAGAATAGATCCCCACACTGGAAAGCCCGTTACTGAAATAAAAAATTACAATATATACAGTATTGTTGTACGAATGTTTCAGTAAACACGCACTAGGTGTTGTCTAATGCTGTAATACAAACATCACGTGATAAGACAAGGATCTGACCTGCTTCTAAAGCTGTAGAGGGAGCAAATGAAGCGATGCCCATGTAGATCACCTGAAAGAGAACAAAAAATGGAGTACATAATATTATAATATCTGTAGTCAACCTGCTGGTTTGTGGTGTGAAAATATGTCCATCACATGATTCACCTTAGCAAAAGACAGCTGTCCCTAGAGTTACCCCTAATCAACACCCATCTCAAAACATATCTTACCACCACAACCAACCATATTTTGTTACCTGTGAGAGAATCATCAGCATCGTCCCCACGAGGCGGACAACTCTTGACTCAAATCTGACCTCCAAGTACTGAAAGGTGGGAGAATGAAAAAAGTATACAATGCTTATGTTAATAAAAGCTGGTATTAACTTGTGTAACTAAAAGTTAAATAATCTCCAATCCCAAGTAATGCAACCAGGGATCTAAGTTCACACAAGTACCTCACAACTTAAATAATAACTGCACTATATTTTTCATTCGGGAACCTAAAACCTCTGTTTATATTTAATGATTAATGTATTTTCTGACATTTACTTACCTCAAAAGCACTGGTCAATTTTAACGGATACATCAGGGGTACAAAAACTAGGGCTGCTAACACAACTCCCAGCATGACACCAAAAGTGGTCAGATAGAATTCAGTCCCCTGGGTTGGCGAGATATTTACAACAAAAATTAATTAGGCATCCAATTAAGTCAAATTTGATGTCATGATGCATTGTCTTCATTTCTTGACCACGTTCCAACTACGAACCGTATCTGTTAGAAGTGCCTGCAATTTCGCTCGGGCGTTTGGATCTAGACATACAGACTGACGAGGAAGTGAGTTAAATAAAAGCTTGTAAAAACCAAAATTAAGAACCGACCAAAACAAAGCATATTTGTAGAAATGAAATAATAAAATTGACTATTTAAAGTTAAAAACACGACTAATTAATTACGTAATTAAAGAGACAAACACAACCTGGGTATACATTTCCGCAGGAAAACCAAGAATCAAGATGGCCGACATGTAAGAGACGAGTATGGAGATGGCAACAGGAAGGATGGAGAGGCTTCGGTTTGCCATCAGATATTCACCTGGATGTCAGAGTAGGAAATTATTGTAGATGTCATTAACAACACAACTTTATGTAACATGGGATTCAAAGCACACATATAAGTTTCACAACACATAACATAGAGGGGGTAAAATACAAATAGAAAAAAAAAACAAGGTGAAAATATTTAGATCGTTGGCTTAAGCATCTTCTTTTTCTTCATTCTCAATTTTAATATTGAAAGTTATCCCCTCCAACACAATTAGTTTGACGACGCTATAATTCTTTCTGTATCCGCATCCATAGTCTTTGTCCACACAATAACTATATGCAAAATAGTAGTTGTTTGAATTTAAAACTTTCCCTCCTAGATGAGGTGCATTCCTCAACTAACGGGCCACATCTGCTTGGGATTTGAACTCAGGAGTTCTGGATCAATCACAAGACCATTTCGTCCCAAAAGCGTCTTCTCTAAGTCCTCGTTAGCACACCCCATCGATAAATCACTATTTAAATCAGGCAAAGTTTACATCAATTAGACAATTGTCACCCCTTGTCTTGTTTTTATCTACCCTTACCTTGTGTTCTATATTTATCTCCCCTTACCTTGTATTCTATATTTAACTCCCCTTACCTTGTGTTTTCTGTTTGCCTCCCCTGAGAGCGAACCAAACTCCTATAGCCATTGATATGATCAACATGGCGGCAAAGACAACATAGTCGACAGGGCCAAAGTGATTTTTCATAATAACCATCTTATGTTAACTCCGCTATATATATATATATATATATATATATATATATATATATATATATATATATATATATATATATATATATATATATATATATATATATATATATATATATATATATATATATATATATATATATATATATATATATATATATATATATATATATATATATATATATATATATATATATATATGTTCTATCTTTCAAAGAAATTGGCGCAGAAGCTTCAAACTGAACTAGACAAAATGTATGAACTTCGAATTGATTTTATTTAAAAGTGAAAAAAGGAAAACACGAAAGTCAACCGCCAACTAGATGACATGTGTTCAACACAGCCAAGCCAGACTGAGAACAACACGGTACAGACTGGTGTTGTGTTGTGAGTTCCTGCTTTATCTGCTGGTTTTTATAATTAGTGCAGCATGGATTGCATAATTTAAAATAATATGTAGACTTAATAAACGTAACGACAGATGGCCAGACGAAATTACGGGGCCAAGTACCACGACACAGATTTGTTCCGCACTAAAGTGTCTAGACTAAAATTTTACCAACACAAAATGTCTGCCGTTTGTTAATTCAAAGAACCGTTATAATTCGTTGATTTAAATCTTAATGTTTATATACTATATTTTCACACTCGTTTTGTTATTTCAGAAGTCTCTACAATTTAACGCCTATTTTCTTTACTTTTACGTGTTTATTGTTGTAAATCTATCGATCTTTATATATATATATATATATATATATATATATATATATATATATATATAAATATATATATATATATATATATACTACTAATGTCGAGAAAGTTTATTTGTCTTTTTTTTTTTCACATGGAGCATCTGCACTATGTGTAGAACTGTAAAATACGTATTTATGTAGAGAATAAGGTTCTTTTTTACCAAACTGATCATCACAAATTCATTTAAAGACGTTAATCAATTTCTTGATTGTGGAAATACCACTTTAATTATACAAGAGCCTTATTTCCAGAAAACAATTCATTGGCTTAGTGACGTTCTTTAATTTATTTACTTATTTTCAAAACAAACATGGCGGACTCCATGGATGGCCATGTTGCCCATTCAAAAGTTTAACGTATTCTAAATGTACAGTGCGAAATCATAAGACGTGATCGATTTAATTGCTTAATATTAGTTTGAAGTCAGCTTTAATAATTTATTCATTTATTATTCAAATGAGGTCCTAGCTCTAAAAATATTACGGAAATAAATCGATTTTTTTAAAAGACAAAAACTTGTAAGCTGAGGTGTGACTTCTTTTTAGATGTGAATGATGTGAATTATAAAGTTGCCTGTCGGGACTTGGCGGGACACTGTCACGTGAAGTAGAGTTCGGCAGGTGAAGTAGACGTCACCTCAGCATATGAAGGGATAGTGTAGTCAGAACCATGCTCAGCCGGTGTTTTTAAAAGACAGAAACATGTCTGAGGTGTAAAGTCTTTTGAATGTGGGTCTAGCTTTTTGTGACGACGTGTAACAGTATGGAGGGGAAGGGAAAGATAAAAGTTGTCAAATAAACGCAGAGGGATATTGGTTTGTATTGTGCAGTACAGTCAACTGACGAGGGCACGACCCACCCAGAAGTAATTTTTTTTTGGCAAAGATGCTCAAAGAGGCGGGTGGCTTGTTCTATGCAGCAGACAGACGGTTTCAACGGGACACAGGGTCGTCTAGTCTATTATAAATTTTTACCCTTACATTCTAAACGCTTGGTCAATGTTGTTAATCGTATGGATTTTTTTACACTTATGCTTTTTTACTTGTTAGTTTTTGTTTGTTGCAAATTGTATTCAAAGTTTTGGCTTGCTCATTAATGTTCTCATGGAAAGAGAAAAATTGATTGTCATAATATACCTATTAAATTTGTCAAAACCATGTTCATAAATTGCCATATTATTACCATATTAATTACTTCTAATTGATATTTGCTTGTTATTTGCAGACCAATACATCGACATAATTACTCAGTTTCAATATTTAAAGTTTGAAGGTAACATATTGTAAAATAACAAAATTGTAGTAATGTTGAAATAGCTGTCTTTTCGTAATATGATATCTCAGTGACTATTCTGTTTTATCTTTTTTTAAAATTGGTTCTTCACCCTTTACATATACGACCCCCATAATGCTTGATGAATAGTTGTTTGTAAGTATTGTTACTTAAAGTAGTATAGAGCAGAGAGTAGTATCTCCATTTACACAATTTAAAACCTTTAAACATAAAGTTTAAATCTATCCTACTTACATTTTTAATATACGAAGTATTGGTAATATATGTGAGGAATTGTAAGATTGGAAAACCTCATTTCACTTTGTATGGGGTAAGGGCGGGTAAAAGCTGTCATATGTTTATCTAATAGAAAGTGCACAATTTGTAATTCATATTTTGTTGGAGTGGCGGTAACAAAGTTCAAGTACATGGAATATGTGTAATTTATTTTTTCATTGTAAATTAAATGTGTGATGCTAATAGATTTAAATATTTCTAAAACACACGGCACTACAATCAGGATGACAGGGAGACAACTCTCAGCTCATTTTGATGAACAAACCTCACACAATTGTGTCCACTCCGATAATTTAAACATTTTTTACCATAACAAATAATAATTCTAAAATATTTGATATTAAATGTACAAAAAAACACATTATTTTACAATTTGACGATGATGATATCATTATTTACAATTGCTACGTCTGTTGGATGTATAGAGATGTGTTCGGTATTCACAAAAGAGCTGTTAGATATTCCAAGGTCATTATCCAAACGTGGATATAACACAGTGGATATCTGGATGCAGTCCGTGTCTGTTGTTGTTTCCATTGGCTTAGGCTGGTCATGTGACATTTGCTTTAGTTCTGTGTCCACACAAGATGCAGATAAGGGCTTGACGCCATGGGCTGTGGGTTAGACAGACATTTTTGTACCTCACAAATTCAATAGATAAAGACAAGACGCCATGGGCTGTGGGATAGACAGACATTTTTGTACCTCACAAATTCAATAGATAAAGACAAGACCCCATGGACTGTGGGTTAGACAGACATTTTTTACCTCACAAATTCAATAGATAAAGACAAGACGCCATGGGCTGTGGGATAGACAGACATTTTTTTACCTCACAAATTCAATAGATAAAGACAAGACCCCATGGACTGTGGGTTAGACAGACATTTTTTTACCTCACAAATTCAATAGATAAAGACAAGACCCCATGGACTGTGGGTTAGACAGACATTTTTTTACCTCACAAATTCAATAGATAAAGACAAGACCCCATGGACTGTGGGATAGACAGACACTTTTTTACCTCACAAATTCAATAGATAAAGACAAGACGCCATGGGCTGTGGGATAGACAGACATTTTGTACCTCACAAAGTCGATAAAGACAAGATGCCATGGACTCGACAAGCAGTTTTGTATTTCACATAACAGACATATTTTATATATCATAGACATAAATAGTTGTTACAAGGGAATATAAATTACACCTGTAACAACAATTACATTTACATGTCAATGACATTTGACTTACCCATTCTCTGGTCATCAGAAAGAAAACCAACATTTGTAACACCTTCTTTGATTGGTGGGGCTGTGATGATAATTTCTTTCTCTGCTGATACAATTTCCTGTAAAACACATATATACACTTGATAATGCTCTTCACACAATAGAGATAAACAAGTAGACTTATTACTGTAATATACCTGTAACAGAACCTCAATCAATGAAATAGTTCCTATAGTTTACCTGAGGTCTCTGGAAGTGTCTGTAACAGTTGAGAAAATGAAGCCAGGAGTTGGGCAAACAACAACACAGACGTGTGAAGACAGGGATCTGATATTTGGTTGGGACGTCATTTGTTGAATTGGCTCCTGCTCATGACAGAAAGAGATCAGCTACCAAAGTTTTATAACACAGACAGACATTCTTGTATACAGTCAGCGCTATATCATTGAGAGAATAACAGAGCAGTTACCTGTAATAAAACTCACGATCAGTCCTACCACTATCACACACAGCAATCCAATCGTAGAAAACCACATGTAAGATATCCCGTAGAAAATATCAACGCCCTCTCTGTTGAAAGCAATTTCAAAACTTAACACTTAACTAGGTGGGTAAAAACTTTGAGTATATTCACAACAATAAAATAAATAAATAAATAAATTTGTTTAGAAACGTTTCTACAATTACTATCTTAATAATACAAAGATGTTTTGCTATATACTATGAATCAAATGTGTTTGTTACCTTGTTGGTCAAATGTTTCAGACAAATGTTGTAGTAAAATATTGTGGTCAAATATTGTGGTCAAATGTTGTAATCAAATATTGTGGTCAAATATTGTGGTCAATAAATATTGTGATCAAATACTGTGGTCAATTGTTGTAATCAAATATTGTTGGGAAATATTGTTGTCAAATATTGTGATCAAATGTTGTGGTCAAATATTGTTGTGAAATATTATGGTCAAATATCTTTGTCAAATATTATGGTCAAATGTTGTGGTCAAATGTTGTGGTCAAATGTTGCGGTCAAATATTTTGGTCAAATGTTGTGGTCAAATGTTTTGGTCAAATGTTGTGGTCAAATATTGTGGTCAAATGTTGTGGTCAAATGTTGTGGTCAAATGTTGTGGTCAAATATTATGGTCAAATATTTTGGTCAAATGATTGGGTTCAAATATTGTGGTCAAATATTGTGGTCGAATGTTGTGGTCAAATATTGTGGTCAAATGTTGTGGTCAAATGTTGTGGTCAAATGTTGTGGTCAAATGTTGTGGTCAAATATTATGGTCAAATATTTTGGTCAAATGTTGTAGTCAAATGTTGTGGTCAAATGTTGTGGTCAAATATTGTGGTAGAATGTTGTGGTCAAATGTTGTGGTCAAATATTATTGTCAAATGTTGTGGGCAAATGTTGTGGTCAAATATTATGGTCAAATGTTGTGGGCAAATGATTGGGTTCAAATATTGTGGTCAAATATTGTGGTCAAATGTTGTGGTCAAATGTTGTGGTCAAATGTTGTGGTGAAATGTTGTGGTCAAATATTGTGGTCAAATGTTGTGGTCAAATGTTGTGGTCAAATGTTGTGGTCAAATGTTGTGGTCAAATATTATGGTCAAATATTTTGGTCAAATTTTTGGGTTCAAATATTGTGGTCAAATGTTGTGGTCAAATGTTGTGGTCAAATGTTGTGGTCAAATGTTGTGGTCAAATATTGTGGTAAAATGTTGTGGTAAAATGTTGTGGTCAAATGTTGTGGTCAAATATTGTGGTCTAATGTTGTGGTCAAATGTTGTGGTCAAATGTTGTGGTCAAATATTATGGTCAAATGTTGTGGGCAAATGTTGTGGTCAAATGTTGTGGTCAAATGTTGTGGTCAAATGTTGTGGTCAAATATTGTGGTCAAATGTTGTGGTCAAATGTTATAGTCAAATATTGTGGTCAAATGTTGTGGTCAAATATTGTGGTCAAATATTGAGGTCAAATATTATGGTCAAATGTTGTGGTAAAATGTTGTGGTCAAATGTTGTGGTCAAATGTTGTGGTCAAATATTGTGGTCAAATATTGTGGTCAAATATTGTGGTCAAATATTGTGGTCAAATGTTGTGGGCAAATGTTGTGGTCAAATATTGTGGTCAAATGTTGTGGTCAAATATTATGATCAAATGTTGTGGTCAAATATTGTGGTCAAATATTGTGGTCGAATGATTGGGTTCAAATATTGTGGTCAAATGTTGTGGTCAAATGTTGTGGTCAAATGGATGGTCAAATATTATGGTCAAATGTTGTGGTAAAATGTTGTGGTCAAATGTTGTGGTCAAATGTTGTGGTCAAATATTGTGGTCAAATATTGTGGTCAAATATTGTGGTCAAATATTGTGGTCAAATATTGTGGTCAAATATTGTGGTCAAATGTTGTCAAATGTTATGGACAAATACTTTTGCCAAATGTATACCTCTCGGCAACTGGAGTGTAGTGTGCTGTAGATACTAAACTCATCGTAGAGGTCAAGGTTGTGGCAGGTGTCATGCGGGTGACCAGTGTCTTTGTCGACACATTGAAATATGCCGCACACGTCCCGTTAGGAAATGACTTTGGAGGTAGACGTATGCCGTAGACATAGGAGCCAATAGATAACCAGAGACTCAGTGCTACAGCAACTAGAGCTCCTGATATGGCGCCCTGTGGGGGTGGAAGTTTAAATGTGTATATTACTTGTCATGTAGAAAAATATTAATTTATGTGATTCTCTTTAGTGCAATGGCGATTTGACTTTGTGTACATGTAAAACATTATTAGATGTATTAAAATGTAAAACACTTATTAATTTTTTGTGGCTTCATGATTAAGAAGTTTATTTTTAACTGACAAATTTATGGAATGAATGTTCAAATAAAACAACAACGTACGTAAATTTGGCCCCAAAACATAAACAACTTACGTTGCTATTGGCCAAAGGAAATAACTTACGTAACTGTTGGCAAAAGAAAATAACAACTTACGTAACTGTTGGCCCAAGGAAATAACAACTTACGTAACTGTTGGCCCAAGGAAATAACAACTTACGTAACTGTTGGCCCAAGGAAATAACAACTTACGTAACTGTTGGCCCAAGAAAATAACAACTTACGTAATTGTTTGCCCAAGGAAATAACAACTTACGTAACTGTTGGCCCAAGGAAATAACAACTTACGTAACTGTTGGCCCAAGGAAATAACAACTTACGTAACTGTTGGCCCAAGGAAATAAGGCTCCTAGTACAAACATTCCACACAGCGGCCCAGCAACAGAGCCAATGAGAGCGGAGGCTGCCTAGAAACAATATAAGGGAAGTAATCAATTTTCTCACTCTAACACACACATTGTCATTGTCATCTCCCTTTATTCACACATTTATTACCAAACTACACATATAAATTACAATAACTTCACTAAAATCACACCATATTGTAAGCCCATATAAATGCTACAAGAACTGCACGAATACACCACATAAATAAGAACCAAACCACACTGCGGTGTGACATAAACCACATGAAACCAAAACCACATTGTACCTGTAAAACTGTCCCCTCCAACTGTTGCGCTAGAAAGCTGACACCCACAGCAAGACATCCATAGATAACAACTGACAATACAAAAAAAGTTAGTTAAAACCTGCAGCAAGACATCCATAGATAACAACTGACAATACAAATAAAGTTAGTTAAAACCTGCAGCAAGACATCCATAGATAACAACTGACAATACAAAAAAAGTTAGTTAAAACCTGCAGCAAGACATCCATAGATAACAACTGACAATACAAATAAAGTTAGTTAAAACCTGCAGCAAGACATCCATAGATAACAACTGACAATACAAAAAAAGTTAGTTAAAACCTGCAGCAAGACATCCATAGATAACAACTGACAATACAAAAAAAGTTAGTTAAAACCTGCAGCAAGACATCCATAGATAACAACTGACAATACAAAAAAAGTTAGTTAAAACCTGCAGCAAGACATCCATAGATAACAACTGACAATACAAAAAAAGTTAGTTAAAACCTGCAGCAAGACATCCATAGATAACAACTGACAATACAAAAAAGTTAGTTAAAACCTGCAGCAAGACATCCATAGATAACAACTGACAATACAAAAAAAGTTAGTTAAAACCTGCAGCAAGACATCCATAGATAACAACTGACAATACAAAAAAGTTAGTTAAAACCTGCAGCAAGACATCCATAGATAACAACTGACAATACAAAAAAAGTTAGTTAAAACCTGCAGCAAGACATCCATAGATAACAACTGACAATACAAAAAAAGTTAGTTAAAACCTGCAGCAAGACATCCATAGATAACAACTGACAATACAAAAAAAGTTAGTTAAAACCTGCAGCAAGACATCCATAGATAACAACTGACAATACAAAAAAAGTTAGTTAAAACCTGCAGCAAGACATCCATAGATAACAACTGACAATACAAAAAAAGTTAGTTAAAACCTGCAGCAAGACATCCATAGATAACAACTGACAATACAAAAAAAGTTAGTTAAAACCTGCAGCAAGACATCCATAGATAACAACTGACAATACAAAAAAAGTTAGTTAAAACCTGCAGCAAGACATCCATAGATAACAACTGACAATACAAAAAAAGTTAGTTAAAACCTGCAGCAAGACATCCATAGATAACAACTGACAATACAAAAAAAGTTAGTTAAAACCTGCAGCAAGACATCCATAGATAACAACTGACAATACAAAAAAAGTTAGTTAAAACCTGCAGCAAGACATTCATAGATAACATATAATTAGACAAAACAATGAGTGAAAGACTAGAGAAGAGATGCTTTTTGACTAGTTGTCCCAATTTCTTACCCGTGATTTTTGTGACCAGAGTCTTCTGATACTCCGTCAACCTGTGATCGTATCTGGGCTTCAGCACATCTTCCCAAGTGATGGCTCCTAGTGCATTCAGTGAGGACGACACGGAGCTAAACAAAGTCGAGACAGAGCTTAGACATTGGACATAGAGCTAAAACATTGGACATAGAACATAAACATGAGCCATAGAACTAAAATATAAAGCCATAGAACTAAAACATTGGCCATAGAACTAAAACATGGGCCATAGAACTAAAACATTTAGCTTAGCATAGAAATACTGGTTTATAAAATCTTGACGCGAATGTGAAGTCACCTTAAAGCTCCAGAGAACAAACACGATATAAATAGTCCAGGAACTCCGGGGTATCCCAAAGTCTCCATCACAAAGTAGGGAACTAGCTGGGGACAAACAAGTCAGTCTATCAAATCCTGCATGTGTATCAAGGGTACGACAAAGTTCTTGCTACATCTGGGCAGAGAATCGAAAGGCTCTATGAGCCTCCCCCCCCCCCCTCAACCAACAACACTAGGGTAATCAATGTCGCCCCACCTACCTGATTCGAGTTACGGATCAACTTCTGGCCCAGAGGATTACATTTCTGATTGGCGTAGTAAGCGAACACGACAATACCGGAGAGGCAGGTCAAGGTCAGCATGATGAACACGCCCAGAATGTTGAGCAGAACTGACCTGAAACACATGTAGCACGTCATAGACCCCACAAATCAACTCACGTTTTCCAGCACCGAACAATTACTGGGTGCTTCATTTTCCGTGCCTACACTCCACGTTTGAAAAGATTATACGTCCTTCAAAAATGACCTTATTTTGATTCTAACCTCCCAGTTCATGGTAATGTATTACCCCCTTCATGCAATGTTAAACACCTGCACGTAATGTTAAACCCCTGCACGTAATGTTAAACCCCTGCACGTAATGTTAAACCCCTGCACGTAATGTTAAACCCCTGCACGTAATGTTAAACCCCTGTACGTAATGTTGAACCCCTACACGTAATGTTAAACCCCTGCACGTAATGTTAAACCCCTGTACGTAATGTTTAACCCCTACACGTAATGTTAAACCCCTGCATATAATGTTAAAGCCCTGCACGTAATGTTAAACCCCTGCACGTAATGTTGAACACCTGCACGTAATGTTGAACCCGTCCATGTAATATTAAACCCGTGCACGTAAAACCCAAAGATCCACACAGGCTGTGGTCAGCTTACATCTTGGCTCGTCTGAGTGTGGCCAGACTGTTGTAGCGCTGGACACTGGCCTGGTTGACCCCAAACGTCCCCATCCAGGCCAGAGCGGTGCCAATCACCAGGTTCCAGACTGTGTGACGTGTCATGGGGTTCGGGTCAAAACTGGAAGACAGACAACACACGTATTGAGAGTTACAGCTTACACAAACTAACATGGTCTATACAGTCAACGTCACTAGAGTTTGTGTTGTAATGCACACCAAATATACTTGTTGCATTATAGAAAATACTTGTAAATAAACGTAAACCGACTTGAAGAATTTGATCCTGCCCCACTCCTCATTGATCTCCCACACACGTGACATACCACCAACTTTTAGAGTACCCTGAAACAACAGGTCGATGTGAGGAAACAATGACATCATTTTTAGAGATCAAAGAACACTTTAAAAATTAAGCAACATCAACGGAGATCACCTTAAATATAAAAAATCAACTAGTGTTTGTAACTTCAGAGTTCCGCGTCGCCCACCAAAAATTGTGATAATAGCATCCTGTACGTCTGTACCACGTGGTGGCTGGTGTATGGGGGTCGGGGCTGGTGTATGGAGGGGTCGGGGCTGGTGTATGGAGGGGTCGGGGCTGGTGTATGGGGGGTCGGGGCTGGTGTATGGGGGGTCGGGGCTGGTGTATGGGGGGTCGGGGCTGGTGTATGGGGGGTAAGGCTGGTGTATGGGGGGGTCGGTGCTGGTGTATGGGGGGGTCGGGGCTGGTGTATGGGGGGTCGGGGCTGGTGTATGGGGGGTAAGGCTGGTGTATGGGGGGGTCGGGGCTGGTGTATGGGGGGTCGGGGCTGGTGTATGGGGGGTAAGGCTGGTGTATGGGGGGGTCGGGGCTGGTGTATGGGGGGGTCGGGGCTGGTGTATGGGGGGTCGGGGCTGGTGTATGGGGGGTAAGGCTGGTGTATGGGGGGGGTCGGGGCTGGTGTATGGGGGTCGGGGCTGGTGTATGGGGGTAAGGCTGGTGTATGGGGGGGTCGGGGCTGGTGTATGGGGGGTCGGGGCTGGTGTATGGGGGGTCGGGGCTGGTGTATGGGGGGTCGGGGCTGGTGTATGGGGGGTCGGAGCTGGTGTATGGGGGGTCGGGGCTGGTGTATGGAGGGGTCGGGGCTGGTGTATGGGGGGTAAGGCTGGTGTATGGGGGGTCGGGACTGGTGTATGGAGGGGTCGGGGCTGGTGTATGGGGGGTAAGGCTGGTGTATGGGGGGGGGGTCGGGGCTGGTGTATGGGGGGGTCGGGGCTGGTGTATGGAGGGGTCGGGGCTGGTGTATGGGGGGTCGGGGCTGGTGTATGGGGGGGTAGGGGCTGGTGTATGGGGGGTCGGGGCTGGTGTATGGGGGGTCGGGGCTGGTGTATGGGGGGTCGGGGCTGGTGTATGGGGGGTAAGGCTGGTGTATGAGGGGGTCGGGGCTGGTGTATGGGGGGTCGGGGCTGGTGTATGGGGGGTCGGGGCTGGTGTATGGGGGGTCGGGGCTGGTGTATGGGGGGTCGGGGCTGGTGTATGGGGGGTAAGGCTGGTGTATGGGGGGGTCGGGGCTGGTGTATGGGGGGTCGGGGCTGGTGTATGGGGGGTCGGGGCTGGTGTATGGGGGGTCGGGGCTGGTGTATGGGGGGTAAGGCTGGTGTATGGGGGGGTCGGGGCTGGTGTATGGGGGGTCGGGGCTGGTGTATGGGGGTAAGGCTGGTGTATGGGGGTAAGGCTGGTGTATGGGGGGGTCGGGGCTGGTGTATGGGGGGTCGGGGCTGGTGTATGGGGGTAAGGCTGGTGTATGGGGGGGGGTCGGGGCTGGTGTATGGGGGGTCGGGGCTGGTGTATGGGGGTAAGGCTGGTGTATGGGGGTAAGGCTGGTGTATGGGGGGGTCGGGGCTGGTGTATGGGGGGTCGGGGCTGGTGTATGGGGGTAAGGCTGGTGTATGGGGGTAAGGCTGGTGTATGGGGGGGTAGAGGCTGGTGTATGGGGGGGGTCGGGGCTGGTGTATGGGGGGTAAGGCTGGTGTATGGGGGGTCGGGCTGGTGTATGGAGGTAAGGCTGGTGTATGGGGGGGGTCGGGGCTGGTGTATGGGGGGTAAGGCTGGTGTATGGGGGGGTCGGGGCTGGTGTATGGAGGGGTCGGGGCTGGTGTATGGAGGGGTCGGGGCTGGTGTATGGAGGGGTCGGGGCTGGTGTATGGGGGGTCGGGGCTGGTGTATGGAGGGGTCGGGGCTGGTGTATGGGGGGGTAGGGGCTGGTGTATGGGGGGTAAGGCTGGTGTATGGGGGGTCGGGGCTGGTGTAATGGGGGTCGGGGCTGGTGTATGGGGGGTCGGGGCTGGTGTATGGAGGGGTCGGGGCTGGTGTATGGAGGGGTCGGGGCTGGTGTATGGGGGGTCGGGGCTGGTGTATGGGGGGTCGGGGCTGGTGTATGGGGGGGTCGGGGCTGGTGTATGGGGGGGTCGGGGCTGGTGTATGGAGGGGTCGGGGCTGGTGTATGGAGGGGTCGGGGCTGGTGTATGGGGGGTCGGGGCTGGTGTATGGGGGGTCGGGGCTGGTGTATGGAGGGGTCGGGGCTGGTGTATGGAGGGGTCGGGGCTGGTGTATGGGGGGTCGGGGCTGGTGTATGGGGGGTCGGGGCTGGTGTATGGGGGGGTCGGGCTGGTGTATGGGGGGTCGGGCTGGTGTATGGAGGGGTAGGGGCTGGTGTATGGAGGGGTCGAGGCTGGTGTATGGGGGGTCGGGGCTGGTGTATGGGGGGTCGGGGCTGGTGTATGGAGGGGTCGGGGCTGGTGTATGGGGGGGTCGGGCTGGTGTATGGAGGGGTAGGGGCTGGTGTATGGAGGGGTCGGGGCTGGTGTATGGGGGGTCGGGGCTGGTGTATGGGGGGTCGGGGCTGGTGTATGGAGGGGTCGGGGCTGGTGTATGGAGGGGTAGGGCTGGTGTATGGGGGGTCGGGGCTGGTGTATGGGGGTAAGGCTGGTGTATGGGGGTAAGGCTGGTGTATGGGGGGGTCGGGGCTGGTGTATGGGGGGTCGGGGCTGGTGTATGGGGGTAAGGCTGGTGTATGGGGGGGGGGTCGGGGCTGGTGTATGGGGGGTCGGGGCTGGTGTATGGGGGTAAGGCTGGTGTATGGGGGTAAGGCTGGTGTATGGGGGGGTCGGGGCTGGTGTATGGGGGGTCGGGGCTGGTGTATGGGGGTAAGGCTGGTGTATGGGGGTAAGGCTGGTGTATGGGGGGGTAGGGGCTGGTGTATGGGGGGGGTCGGGGCTGGTGTATGGGGGGTAAGGCTGGTGTATGGGGGGTCGGGCTGGTGTATGGAGGTAAGGCTGGTGTATGGGGGGGGGTCGGGGCTGGTGTATGGGGGGTAAGGCTGGTGTATGGGGGGGTCGGGGCTGGTGTATGGAGGGGTCGGGGCTGGTGTATGGAGGGGTCGGGGCTGGTGTATGGAGGGGTCGGGGCTGGTGTATGGGGGGTCGGGGCTGGTGTATGGAGGGGTCGGGGCTGGTGTATGGGGGGGTAGGGGCTGGTGTATGGGGGGTAAGGCTGGTGTATGGGGGGGGTCGGGGCTGGTGTAATGGGGGTCGGGGCTGGTGTATGGGGGGTCGGGGCTGGTGTATGGAGGGGTCGGGGCTGGTGTATGGAGGGGTCGGGGCTGGTGTATGGGGGGTCGGGGCTGGTGTATGGGGGGTCGGGGCTGGTGTATGGGGGGGTCGGGGCTGGTGTATGGGGGGGTCGGGGCTGGTGTATGGAGGGGTCGGGGCTGGTGTATGGAGGGGTCGGGGCTGGTGTAAGGGGGGGGTCGGGGCTGGTGTATGGGGGGTCGGGGCTGGTGTATGGAGGGGTCGGGGCTGGTGTATGGAGGGGTCGGGGCTGGTGTATGGAGGGTCGGGGCTGGTGTATGGGGGGTCGGGGCTGGTGTATGGGGGGGTCGGGCTGGTGTATGGGGGGTCGGGCTGGTGTATGGAGGGGTAGGGGCTGGTGTATGGAGGGGTCGGGGCTGGTGTATGGGGGGTCGGGGCTGGTGTATGGGGGGTCGGGGCTGGTGTATGGAGGGGTCGGGGCTAGTGTATGGGGGGGTCGGGCTGGTGTATGGAGGGGTAGGGGCTGGTGTATGGAGGGGTCGGGGCTGGTGTATGGGGGGTCGGGGCTGGTGTATGGGGGGTCGGGGCTGGTGTATGGAGGGGTCGGGGCTGGTGTATGGAGGGGTAGGGCTGGTGTATGGGGGGTCGGGCTGGTGTATGGGGGGTCGGGGCTGGTGTATGGAGGGGTCGGGGCTGAAACAGGGACGCCTGGGACCCAGTTTTTTTTTTCATTGCACGAGTAAATTTCTCTTAACTTTTTTTATTTAACTAACACATTTCAACAATAAAATTACAAATTATTTCAAATTCTTAAAACGAATTAAATCCAACTAATATATTAAGAGAGCCACCCACATAGTATTTTTTTTTGCTAAACACGCAAGCCCTCCGGTATTAACATCCGCTGTCATCGTCTTCTGTTCAGACATTGTTACAAATTGTATCCATAATGATCCCAGTGTATTACTCGCAAGCTTAGAACTGCTACCTATAAGAATTATTTTAAAGAAGGCCGCAAGATGGCGTCCACTTAACAACAAATGTATATAGGCCTACATGATAAAAATGCTAATAACTTCTTTTATTAGGTACCTGATTATTATTTTGCGATACCATAAAGTTCTTAATTGTTTTTATCTGGATATGATAAACTGTTGAACGACACGCTTGGTAGGCATTTAGTGTTTTAAACTAGTATGATGCTTTTCTGTTTGCTAAAATGTCGTTCTTTTTTTCATACGTTTTCTTTAACTTACTTTCGCGTCTGTTTGTTTGTTTTTCCAATCAAATCTTGCGATCGAAATTTCGGGCACTTTCCAGTTAGCTAGCGCGCTGAAATTTTCAGGGAAGCTTTGTTTCCGATGACAATACAATATTCAATTATTATTATTACTAAATTGATCAATGGAAAACTTTTATTGATCATTTTAGACTCCTATTGATTTGTACTAAAAAAGGGACATAACCCAGTAATTGTAATTTGATGAAAACAAGATTCGGTACTTTCCCTCTTCAGGCTAACTGAAGGAGCGAGCACGCGATTGGCTGAGTAGTGGTCACGCGGTGTTTGTGTACAAACCTATGCAAATCTGACTGATCAGGAAGTAGAATGTTGATGGTCGAATGGTCGAATGGTTTGCACGCGAGGGCAAAATGGTGAAAGAAACGGCAACACAGAAGAAACGTCGATTGGAAAAGGCACGTGTTTTTTACGAGCTGTCTTCGTTTACCCAAAAAAAAGTGAATGCGAGAAGATAAAATCGATAGCAAGATTTGAATGCAAACAAACAGACAAAGACTAAAAAGTAGAAAATAATTATCATTAAAAAAGTTTTTAAAAACCCACGTTTTTAAAAACGTGGGGCGCCGTGATTTTCTTACAGTTTTTAATACTGTTGACTCTCTACAAGCTCCCTAATAAAACTCAATAGTATTATCTAATCAATAGTAATATAACTTTTACATCTTATATTAACAATGACCGATAAAAAACTTTTACTTCGGCGCCCCACGTTTTTCATTTTTTGTCATAATGCGCGGCAGTTTGCAATCGCTTATAGTAGAGTGATCGCTTGCATTATTGTGATGTATAGCATTTATTTTCTACTTTTTAGTTCAATCAGAAAACGTGGGTTTTTAAAAACTTTTTTAACGATAATTATTACAACTGTTTACTCGCAACAGGGCATAGTGCTGACCACACATCCATCTATATGCCGTGGGCGTTAAAACAGATTAACTCTACTCCACCTTCACAATAAGTGTTGGGCACGAAAGATAATAATCACCCTGTTAAGAAAATCTAGAAAATCAAATTGTTTCGATCATCCTTACATGAGCCGTAAAAAAATGTACTGGTGTTTCTTTATCTTTCGTTCACTGCATTCTATTCTTTGGTAGATACAAAATATATGAAACCCTCACTTAAAGACTCCAGCTATAGCACGGTTTATGTTGTGAAAGGTAGAATCCATGCCAGCATATTTTTAAGATTAAGATTTATGTAACTAGTTGTTATAAAATATGTCTTTTTTTGTTGAAATCTATTAGCCGCAGAAATAAAACAAAAAAAAAAGAATATACATTCAAGTGTATATAATTATACATAAAGATTAATCGCATCTCTCTGTAAACGTCCATTAGGAATTTCACTATAACAACATATTATGTTGCTATTAATTCGTAGTTCACTTTTTAACGCTAATAGAATGAAGTTGAAACATACCTGAATAACAATAGCTAATATACCAGCGATCATTATAATAGACTGGAAGACATCCGTCCAGATTACCGCCTTCATCCCACCCTAAAATTAGAGCGTTTTATGTATTCATATATACATATATATATATATATATATATATATATATATATATATATATATATATATATATATATATATATATAAAATGGAAACCGGTTATGTATACGCGTTGTGAAATACCAAACCAAGTCACCAAAACCGATGGTTGGTATAACCAAAACGTAATTTTGTTTAACATTATGTTAACATGTGATTTTACTTTCTTTATATACATGATGTTTGATAATATAATAGAGAATTAAAAATTATGTGTTTTTATAATTTATAAAGGCCACATTAGCAACAATAGTATCTAAACTTACTATCGTGGTGTATTAATTAGACACATAAGCAACAAGTTTTTAAACTTACTATCGTGGTGTATAGAGTAGACACATAAGCAACAAGTTTTTAAACTTACTATCGTGGTGTATTAATTAGACACACAAGCAACAAGTTTTTAAACTTACTATCGTGGTGTATAGAGTAGCCACAGCACCTGTACTTAATATTGTCCCCCACACTGGAAAGCCTGTCACTGTAATACAAGTCATAAGCTGCAGTATAGTACTATATATATATATATATATATATATATATATATATATATATATATATATATATATATATATATATATATATATATATTCACATATATATCATTATATATCAATGCATATTAAAAGCACATGAGATTATTGTGTATTTCACGAGTATCATAATCAGTGTTTCTTCCAGATTTTTTTCTCCGAGATTTTCGGGGGGGGGGGGGGGGCGGAAGACTTTCTTCGGGGTGGGGGGGGGGGGGGACGGACACTGTTAAAAGTATATATTTTCTATATAAATTATATAAATTTCATTTCGTTGGGGGGGGGGGGTAGAATTTTTTCTAGGGGGGGGGGGGGGGCGGGGGCTTCGCCTGGAAGAAACTGATCATAAAATGTGAATGTATTACACGTTATTTTTGCTTAAAACATGTCAGAATAAAATGTTAAGAAGATCTGACCTGCTTCTAGCGCTGTAGAGGGAGCAAATGAAGCCAGACCCATGTAGATAATCTGATGGTAAATAAAAAGTTAAATGACCAAAATTAGTTAACTGACCAAAATTAGTTAACTGACCAAAATTAGTTAACTGACCAATTAAACACAAAAAATATTTTATTCAGTTTATGTCTCAGACATTTTATTCCAGGGGAGTATTCACAAATAGCGTCCTTGAGGGGAGGGAATGTTTAAAGTATTGTTTTTTCTGTTTTATCCGTGGAGGGGGGAATCACGTGCTCTTTGGTTCGGAGCGATATCCATACTAGCCATCTCCCCCCCCCCCCCCCACATCCCACCCGGAGATAATGTCTGATGTGGACACAACATTTACAGACCTGCGTCAACACACTCAGCAGTGTCCCCACCAAGCGAGTACTTCTTGACTGGAATCTTTTCTCAAGATACTGGTTAAACAAAGAATATAACATCTGGTTATTGGTTAAACACAGAATACAGCATGTGTTTACTGGTTAAACACAGAATACAGCATGTGTTTACTGGTTAAACACAGAATACAGCATGTGTTTACTGGTTAAACACAGAATACAGCATGTGTTTACTGGTTAAACACAGAATACAGCATGTGTTTACAGGCTGGAGACATAACATTTTGTTATCGCACGTAACTAAACCCAGCACAATACAACAAACTGTTTCAGCAACATCCGGCTAACTCAGGAACTGCAGACATTGTTGATGGCTTGCTGAATGGCGCTGTAGCTTTTTCTTTCTTGTGTTAGTTAACTTCTATCTCTCAACTTTCGGGAGAGTATTTGGGAGAAAACATCATGTGTTTTTAAGATTTAAAGGGACCGCGTGGCCTAGCGGTAGAGAACTAGGCTGCTCAGCCGAAATTCTCGAGTTCGAATCCGTGTTCGAGTCAGTATTACGTCCCTGAGTCCACCCAGCTCATATTAGGGTAAGCAAAGCCGGCTGGGCATAGTACATATATCTGCTTCATCTGCCCCATTTGTCTTGGGCACAAAGGGGAAAGATGATATATATGCATACATATATATTTTTGTGTAGCCACTGCACACTTATATATATATATATATATATATATATATATATATATATATATATATATATATATATATATATATATATATATATATATATATATATATATATATATATATTCATTAAAAACGACTAACTGTAAGATAATTACGTTCGTAGTAAATTGTATGTCAATATAAACACCTATAAATAGAGCAGTCTGATCTATTTATAGCAGTGATAACAATAGAGGGCGATAGTTCTTTAGGGTGGGGAGAGCAGAAGGGGGTAAAGTTTACCTCAAATGCGCTGGTCAGCTTTAGCGGAAACAACAACGGCACGAAGGTCAAGGCCGCCAGCACAACACCAAACATCATCCCCAGTGTCGTCAGGTAGTACTCGGTGCCCTAGATATCACAGGTAAACATAGAGCAAATAGGGGACACAACTTTGTCATTTTTGTATCCTAAATTATTTCCCTTTGATAAGAAAACTAAAACCGCGGTTTATGGGTGTTATCGCCGGCTATTCAAGTGTTTGGACTTTTGTGACGATGTGTGACAAACAGGATGGTAGGCGTTGGAAAGTGTGACGTCAGTTTGAAAACAATTATTTGAATTATTTTAAATTTTATAAGAATAAGTTGACCCAATACACTTTAGAAATGAATCACGTTTTTTTTTATTAAAATCCCATACATACCATACCTGGGTGTAAAACTGACCTGAGTGTAAAACTGACCTGAGTGTAAAACTGACATGGGTGTAAAACTGACCTGGGTGTACTGTAAAACTGACCTGGGTGTACTGTAAAACTGACCTGAGTGTAAAACTGACCTGACTGTACTGTAAAACCGACCTGGGTGTAAAACTGACCTGGGTGTAAAACTGACCTGGGTATAAAACTGACCTGGGTGTACTGTAAAACTGACCTGAGTGTAAAACTGACCTGACTGTACTGTAAAACCGACCTGGGTGTAAAACTGACCTGGGTGTAAAACTGACCCGACTGTACTGTAAAACTGACCTGTGTGTACATCTCGGCTGGTGTACCAAGAACTAAGATGGCGGAGAAGAAGGAAACCAGCATAGAGATGGCTACTGGGACGATGGCCATCTTCCTGTTGCCCATCAGGTATTCCCCTGTTGAGGTAGATTAAAAAAAATACTTCAGGTGATATTGCTGTAGTAGAAATATAGACCTGTAACCCGAATGTATACCATCAATGGTTCTTATATATATATATATATATATATATATATATATATATATATATATATATATATATATATATATATATATATATATACATATATATATATATATATATATATATATATATATATATATATAGACACCTTTCACCCTATCACCATGAAACTTTGGGGAGTTGATGAGAATACTCCATGGGAGGTTTCTGCAAAGAATTTTTTTTTATTCCGCAAGGACGGAGACCACGGATGCGGTTCGACACCGTTCATCCATTGGCCATAAATCTGTGGGGAGTAGAGGAGCATACGCACGAGAAGATTTCTGCGAAAACAAATTAAAATTTCTTATTGGTAGGCTGCGATTTTTGTCAACATACGGTTTGGAGCCCAGAGTTCCAGAACGGATATCTTAGCAATTGGTATCCGTTAATTGTGCGTCCTGTATAGTGGATGAAAGGTACTACTAGATTTCCCTGTGAAAAAATGCGTTTACGATCGTTTTTTTTTTTAAAAAAAAAGGCTACACACTAAACAAAGATGGGCAACAATAATGGTTGATTATATCAAACCAAGCGCGTCCTCTGGCGCCCCATTAAGGTGCAGGTTGGCAGCGCGGGCTCATCCATGAGCACTATGGCGTCCACGTTCGTTTTTTAAGAGTGCGATAGGCTCTTGATACAATGGATTGCTATAGACGCTCAATAAATCGAATCTGGCGTGTCATCCGGCGCCCTGCAGGATACTATTTGGCTCCCCTGGCTTTCCCGTGAGCGCTTACGTTTGTTTTAAAGAGTGCGATAGAATATGGATAAGATGTGGTTTTATAGTCCTTCACTACATTCAATCAGGTTTGTCTGCCGACGACCCAGTACAGTGCGATTTGGCGCTCCAGGCTATCCCGTGAGCACCATGGCGCTTACTTTAAAAAGCGCCCTACAGTATTGACACGGTGGCACACGACATTCAATGATTAAGCCGAGCTGGGGTGTACACGTCGCCCTAACGGTAGTGTAACCGGAGACTCCCAAGAGCGCCCCTCTCCGTCCCTGACAACTGGGCCGTCGCCGAAGTCTGTTCTACCTCACTATTACGGAGAGTGATTAACGTACACTCAAGGCTTTCACATACCACGCTCAGGAGTAGTGTAGGTAAACCCGCGCGCCGACACGTATGATGCAAAAATATAGCGTTGGCATTGTTTAAATTTAAATAACTCAGTGTCAGAAAACAAGTTCACACGTCTAAGTATATAGGATTGCGCATTGATGAAACCCTCTTAAAATAATACGTTAGACTTTCTTCTGAGACCGCTGCAACGCGCGAGGACGGGCACGCTAGTGTTCTATATTTATCTCCCCTTACCTTGTATTCTATATTTATCTCCCCTTACCTTGTGTTCTCTGTTTGCCTCCCCTTACCTTGTGTTCTCTGTTTGCCTCCCCTGAGAGCGAACCAAACTCCTATAGCCATTGATATGATCAACATGGCGGCAAAGACAACATAGTCGACAGGGCCGAAAGCGTTCTTCACCACAACCATTTTGGTCTAGTCAGCTGCTATTAGGCTTGGTAAGGCTTGCGACTTTTAGTTGAGGTCTCCTTTTGAACAGGCAAGTTACAGTTTTTTGATGATGAAAGAAATATTTGAATCGACGCTTCAATCAGGGATCAGTTCCATAGTCTAGTGACATGACGTCACGTCCTGTTGTCCAGAGACATTTGTACACCATTAAATTATCAGTGAATAGCACAGAATGCCCAATTTATTGCTACAAACTAAACCACTGACAGAATGCCCCATCTATTCCTACAAAACTAAACCACTGACATAATGTCCCATCTATTCCTACAAAACTAAACCACTGACAGAATGTCCCATCTATTGCTACAAAACTAAACCATTGACAGAATGTCCCATCTATTCCTACAAAACTAAACCACTGACAGAATGTCCCATCTATTCCTACAAAACTAAGCCACTGACAAAATGTCCCATCTATTCCTACAAAACTAAACCACTGACAGAATGTCCCATCTATTCCTACAAAACTAAACCACTGACAGAATGTCCCATCTATTGTTACAAAACTAAACCACTGACAGAATGTCCCAGCTATTGTTACAAAACTAAACCACTGACAGAATGTCCCATCTATTCCTACAAAACTAAACCACTGACAGAATGTCCCATCTATTCCTACAAAACTAAACCACTGACAGAATGTCCCATCTATTGTTACAAAACTAAACCACTGACAGAATGTCCCATCTATTGTTACAAAACTAAACCACTGACAGAATGTCCCATCTATTGTTACAAAACTAAACCACTGACAGAATGTCCCATCTATTGTTACAAAACTAAACCACTGACAGAATGTCCCATCTATTGTTACAAAACTAAACCACTGACAGAATGTCCCATCTATTGTTACAAAACTAAACCACTGACAGAATGTCCCATCTATTGTTACAAAACTAAACCACTGACAGAATGTCCCATCTATTCCTACAAACTAAACCACTGACAGAATGTCCCATCTATTGTTACAAAACTAAACCACTGACAGAATGTCCCATCTATTGTTACAAAACTAAACCACTGACAGAATGTCCCATCTATTCCTACAAACTAAACCACTGACAGAATGTCCCATCTATTGTTACAAAACTAAACCACTGACAGAATGTCCCATCTATTGTTACAAAACTAAACCACTGACAGAATGTCCCATCTATTGTTACAAAACTAAACCACTGACAGAATGTCCCATCTATTGTTACAAAACTAAACCACTGACAGAATGTCCCATCTATTGTTACAAAACTAAACCACTGACAGAATGTCCCATCTATTGTTACAAAACTAAACCACTGACAGAATGTCCCATCTATTGTTACAAAACTAAACCACTGACAGAATGTCCCATCTATTCCTACAAACTAAACCACTGACAGAATGTCCCATCTATTGTTACAAAACTAAACCACTGACAGAATGTCCCATCTATTGTTACAAAACTAAACCACTGACAGAATGTCCCATCTATTCCTACAAACTAAACCACTGACAGAATGTCCCATCTATTGTTACAAAACTAAACCACTGACAGAATGTCCCATCTATTCCTATAAAACTAAACCACTGACAGAATGTCCCAACTATTCCTACAAAACTAAACCACTGACAGAATGTCCCATCTATTGTTACAAAACTAAACCACTGACAGAATGTCCCATCTATTGTTACAAAACTAAACCACTGACAGAATGTCCCATCTATTGTTACAAAACTAAACCACTGACAGAATGTCCCATCTATTGTTACAAAACTAAACCACTGACAGAATGTCCCAACTATTCCTACAAAACTAAACCACTGACAGAATGTCCCATCTATTGTTACAAAACTAAACCACTGACAGAATGTCCCAACTATTCCTACAAACTAAACCACTGACAGAATGTCCCATCTATTGTTACAAAACTAAACCACTGACAGAATGTCCCAACTATTCCTACAAACTAAACCACTGACAGAATGTCCCATCTATTCCTACAAAACTAAACCACTGACAGAATGTCCCATCTATTCCTACAAAACTAAACCACTGACAGAATGTCCCATCTATTCCTACAAAACTAAACCACTGACAGAATGTCCCATCTATTGTTACAAAACTAAACCACTGACAAAATGTCCCATCTATTCCTACAAACTAAACCACTGACAGAATGTCCCATCTATTCCTACAAACTAAACCACTGACAGAATGTCCCATCTATTCCTACAAAACTAAACCACTGACAGAATGCCCCATCTATTCCTACAAAACTAAACCACTGACAAAATGCCCCATCTATTCCTACAAAACTAAACCACTGACAAAATGTCCCATCTATTGTTACAAAACTAAACCACTGACAGAATGTCCCATCTATTCCTACAAAACTAAACCACTGACAAAATGTCCCATCTATTCCTACAAAACTAAACCACTGACAAAATGTCCCATCTATTCCTACAAAACTAAACCACTGACAAAATGTCCCATCTATTCCTACAAAACTAAACCACTGACAAAATGTCCCATCTATTCCTACAAAACTAAACCACTGACAAAATGTCCCATCTATTCCTACAAAACTAAACCACTGACAGAATGTCCCATCTATTCCTACAAAACTAAACCACTGACAGAATGTCCCATCTATTGTTACAAAACTAAACCACTGACAGAATGTCCCATCTATTGTTACAAAACTAAACCACTGACAGAATGTCCCATCTATTCCTACAAAACTAAACCACTGACAGAATGTCCCATCTATTGTTACAAAACTAAACCACTGACAGAATGTCCCATCTATTCCTACAAAACTAAACCACTGACAGAATGTCCCATCTATTGTTACAAAACTAAACCACTGACAGAATGTCCCCAGTTCTTGCTGTCTTGTTTTTCTCTAACATTTTTACCGGAGCTAAGAGAAAAAAAAAATACTCGCCATCAAAACAAGTTGGGTCAGTTAGAGTTCCGGATCATAGCATCGATACTCGGCCATTTTAAATAGTAGCGATACTTCCATATTTCTGATGCAGCGATACCTGAAAAAAATGGTTATGCCATTATTATTTTTTAGGTATTATATCTTTAGCTGTTTAGATTATATTTTAACCTAGAAGTGATTAGATTAGAGCGTAGACAAACCAACAAAACCCTATATAAATAAATGTTTGATGTTTATAAATGTTGGTGTAATTTTTTCTTAACAAAGGTGCAAATAAAAATACATGGATACAGGCAATTGGTCTACACAGAGAATGTGGATAGTTATCCATCACTTTTGAGATGGGGAAATAACGGATATTCATCCTTCACACCGCAACACGACCTACACCCGGAAACAATTCGGATCCGGAAACATTTAGACTGCTGTTTTGACTGCTGTTTACGGTGGAAAAATTTCCTTGAACTAAACTGCGAAATTAAATGACCGTTTTTTAAAGTTTTTAAAGTGTCCGTAATTGACGCCATAAACATTTGGTCCTCAACCTCCCTTACAACACACCTCTCTAAATAAACCCCTTTAAAAGATCCACAAGTCTCGCTACACAACATGACTGAACAAGCAGAACAGCGTCACAAATCATGATGCCAACTCGCGTGAAGTTAATGTCAAAACGGCCATTAACTAAAAATCCTAACTCAAATCCTGTACCTATATATTACCTTAATCCTAACCTTAAGAAAAAAACAAAATCTAAGCATCAATCTAAGCCTAAAACTTAACACAAAACCAAAACAAACTCTAGTTATTGGCTTAAGCCTAACCTTGACCGTAACCCAAATCCAAATCCTAACCCTAACCCTAACCCTAACCCTAACCCTAACCCTAACCCTAACCCTCACCCTGACCCTGACCCTGACCCTAACCCTAACCCGTGGGCCCTCTACGTCCACGACACTCAGGTGGTGAGTGATTTACGTTGATATTAAGGTGAGTGATTAACGTACACTCAATGCTGTCCTACAGCTCGCCCCATGGCGTACTGGGTGGTAGTGTAGGTAAACCCGTGCCCCGATAAATATGATTCAAGTGCAGACATTGTTTACATTTAAATAACTCACTTTTAGAAAACAAGGTCACGCATCTAAGAATATATGATTGGTAAAGCAATTATGAAACCCTGCTAATATATTTCGCCCGACTTTGTCTTTTATGCATTACTACAGCTTTTATCCGATAGACACTACAATTAGATCAAACCAATTATTAATTCCAATCCTTTTATTTCTATCTTATTCAGTCAAATCGTTTTATTACAAGCTTTTATTTAACTTGGTTTTATTTAACTTGATTTTATTTAACTTGATTTTATTTAACTTGATTTTATTTAAATTGATTTTATTTAACTTTGATTTTATTTAACTTGATTTTATTTAAATTGATTTTATTTAATTTGATTCCTCGTTCTTTTGACTGTCGTGATTCGTTCGTCATGGATCTAAACTGGCGAGCAAAATTTCGACCAGTTCTAACTGACCTATTCGCTTCAAACTTGGGACGTGGGTCAAGACCTGATGATAATACTATCTGATATCAAATTCAGCTTAATTGGATGTCTAATTAATTTTTTTAATTAATGAAAGTTTCCTACATAAAGTACTATTTACCGCAGTATTTTACGCACATTTTGTGATTTTTTTTTAAAATTTAATCTTATTCAACCAAATCATTATATTTTATCTCATTTAAACAAATCCTTTTATTTTATCTTATTCAACCAATTCATTTTATTTTTTCTTATTTAAACAAATCCTTTTTTTTTATCTTATTCAATTAAATAGCAATCAACTAACTTGAATCCTTCTGTTTTCATGCAACATCAGGAAACATGTAGTTCGTGAGTGGCTACGACAAAAAACTAACAGGAACCGGTGCTTTATTAGGGTCAGCAGGTACTTATTGAGGTCAACGTATGCTATATAAGGTCACCTGGTGCTTCCTAAGGTCAACCTTGATGTACCTGTCTACAGTGACCGCAATACTGCTAACGTACAGGGGTAGAAATAAGTATTGAGGGCAATAAAGTTCGTCTTACCTTATATCAACCCGTGTAGCCTTCATCAACCCATGAAGCCTCCTATGTGTATTGTCTGTGTGAAAACCCAGTTGTAATGACGAGTCTATTTACATAAAGGTGTGGCAGGTCACTCATTAGCAAGACAGTGAATGTTATGGTGTGTTGATGTTCTAAGGGGGGGGGGGGGGTAATTAACTGCCAGGATACCTGAACTCGCTCTACAATAAGCCACTCAGATCCTAATTAATGAAGGTAGCAAATTTAACAGCGGCGACTTAACACAAATACAATGGTTGGTTGTTTTTTTAATGGTTTTTTTTTTTAAATTCTACACTGCTCTGGCTTGTCATAGTTACCAAAGGGTGACATACAATAAATGGTGACACAATAAATAGTAACACAATAAATGGTGATGCATAATGCATGATGACACATAACACATTTTGACATTTAATAAATGTTGACACACATTAAATGGTGTCACATGATATATGGTGACCTAGAAAACACGGTTTAAAGAAATGGTGACACAGAGCATCTGGTGACACAGAAGAGAGGTGAAAACCAAGATGACATAATAAAACGGTGACGCGAGAGAAAAATGTTGGACAAGAAAATGTTGACATGGTCCGTGCTGGGTCGAGATGAAGTGGTTTTTAAATGAAGGCAGTGGGTCATATCAAGGTATTTACTCGTTTCATATCAAGGTATTTACTCGTTTCTTAGAGGTACACCTTTTTTTCTTTTACAGAAAACGTTTTTTTAAATAGTTAAATGTTGTACTCATAGATAAACTTTTTTTCCTCTTTTTTTTAACAGGTAAATCGTGTTTTATTTACAGGTAAATCGTGTTTTATTTACAGGTAAATCGTGTTTTTTAAAGGTAAATCGTGTTTTTTAAAGGTAAATCGTGTTTTATTTACAGGTAAATCGTGTTTTTTAAAGGTAAATCGGGTTTTTTAAAGGTAAATCGTGTTTTATTTACAGGTAAATCGTGTTTTATTTACAGGTAAATCGTGTTTTATTTACAGGTAAATCGTGTTTTATTTACAGGTAAATCGTGTTTTATTTACAGGTAAATCGTGTTTTATTTACAGGTAAATCGTGTTTTATTTACAGGTAAATCGTGTTTTATTACAGGTGAATATTGTATTCGCAGACTAATGTTTTTGTACGGGTAAACATTTATTCATCAAGATATAAAGTTTCTGTAGATATCACTTTACTTACAGGTAAATATTTTGTCATATGTAAACAATTTAGACAGAGGTAAACCTTAACGTACCTGCAGACATTTGACTTACTGGTAAACTTTAATTACAGGTAAACATTTTATTTAAAGGTAAAAGTCTTGCAAGTAAACCCATCCCACCTACTCCTAATCTAATGTTGTATTACAATCTAATGTTGTATTACAATCTAATGTTGTATTACAATCTTATGTTGTATTACAATCTAATGTTGTATTACAATCTAATGTTGTATTATAATCTAATGTTGTATTGCAATCTAATGTAGTATTACAATCTAATGTTATATTACAATCTTATGTTGTATTACAATCTAATGTTGTATTACAATCTAATGTTGTATTACAATCTAATGTAGTATTACAATCTAATGTAGTATTACAATCTAATGTTATATTACAATCTTATGTTGTATTACAATCTAATGTTGTATTACAATCTAATGTTGTATTATAATCTAATGTTGTATTATAATCTAATGTTGTATTACAATCTAATGTTGTATTACAATCTAATGTAGTATTACAATCTAATGTAGTATTACAATCTAATGTTATATTACAATCTTATGTTGTATTACAATCTAATGTTGTATTATAATCTAATGTTGTATTACAATCTAATGTTGTATTACAATCTAATGTTGTATTACAATCTAATGTTGTATTACAATCTAATGTTGTATTACAATCTAATGTTGTATTATAATCTAATGTTGTATTACAATCTAATGTATTACAATCTAATGTTGTATTACAATCTAATGTTGTATTATAATCTAATGTTGTATTACAATCTAATGTTGTATTACAATCTAATGTTGTATTACAATCTAATGTAGTATTACAATCTAATGTTGTATTACAATCTAATGTAGTATTACAATCTAATGTAGTATTACAATCTAATGTTATATTACAATCTTATGTTGTATTACAATCTAATGTTGTATTACAATCTAATGTTGTATTATAATCTAATGTTGTATTACAATCTAATGTTGTATTACAATCTAATGTTGTATTACAATCTAATGTTGTATTATATTCTAATGTTGTATTATAATCTAATGTTGTATTACAATCTAATGTTGTATTACAATCTAACGTTGTATTAGATAGATTTAAAACGTCAACTGCTAACCTTATAGGACCAGTGGCGAAACTAGAAAAAAAGGGCCACCCCGCAAAAAAAATTTCTGGGCCCTTCCACCTATATATATATATATATATATATATATATATATATATATATATATATATATATATATACACACAAACACAGAATACAAACATTGGATACTCATTTCTGGCCTGATCAGGTTTTGAAGAAAAAAAATGTTTTTCTTTTTCAATTTGAATTTAAACAAATTACAACATGCCATGTGTGTGAGTGCTTTAGTCTGTTTTGAATTATTTATTTTTTTTAGATTTAGAACTAGTTTATTCAATATGTTTGCTGTAATACTGCTTACCCGCTAGTTTTAGCCGGTCAAAAAGAATATAAAACGTGAAAGCTTTGTATGTGTAACTGTTTCTCGAGTTATGTCTATTTTTTTTTTGCTTTTTTGTATTTATATTATTTGTTTTAAATATATTTCCTTCGTATGATGTCATTATTTATTATGTATTTAAAAAAATAATTAAGAGAAGTAATTGCTTTTTTATTTGTTTAGTACAAATATATTAAAAGGAGCTTATGATCACCCCTATTTAACTATTTAAAAAAGGGAAATAAGTCATGGAAGTGTTTTGAATGTTTGCCTATCTTTCACACTTCAGCTCAGGCATATATTTTTTTTTCACACAACAGCATGTGTTAGCTAATGTATAACATCATTACTGTAGTAGATCTGTTTGTTATTTACAAAAGCTTTTACCGTCGAGTCAAAATGCAAGAATATTTTGACTCATAACTATAAAAAATTATTATGGTCGGCTGTGGGCCCCTAAATGGCATGCCCCCCCCCCCGCATTGCAGGGTCTGGCGGCACTGTAGTTCCGCCCCTGTATATGACACACCCCTACACTTGGAACTAATCACCAAAAAATTGGTACCATTTGTTTGTTTGTAAAATAGATTATCTAATTTTAAAGAAACCATTTGTTACAAGAAATAATTCTTTCATCCAAATATACTGAAACAGAAGAACATTTGCAAATAAACAAATTACGAAAACTAAAAACAATCCTTCTGTTATAAAATTTTTCTCTATACTCACCCCTACCTCCCTTTTACAAATATTTTTAACGAAATTTTACATCGTTTAAATGTTTTTTATAATAATTTATAAGTTACTGCAACTAAAAAAAAACATTCAAGGGAAGCAATTAATATTAATTGTACAGCAAATCTTTACAATCTTATTATTCCCCCTGCTCTGAAATCTCACACATTTATGGTTATTTGGCATTAGATTAATTTTGACAACATTTAATGAAGTAACTAGCCACAGTTTGTCATTACCAGTGTTGAAGTTTTACAGAAACGGACAACAGTTTTTACACTGTTGATGATCATAAAAGAAATACATCAATTGACATAGTTATAGATATGATTTATAATACAAATGTTACACTCAATTGACATATTAATACATTTGATTTATAATACAGATATAAGTAATATTATACCCAATTGTTGATATATTTGCACGTAGAATTTATAATATAAATATTACACTTGATATCTACTGTTGATTTATTTGTCAGTCAAACGTCGTACCCAGCACTACAACGTTTCAGTTGAGTCTAACGTCAAACGTCGTACCCAGCACTACAACGTTTTAGTTGGAGGTGACGTCAGTCAAACGTCGTACCCAGCACTACAACGTTTTAGTTGGAGCTGAGGTCAGTCAAACATCGTACCCAGCACTACAACGTTTTAGTTGAGCTTGACGTCAGTTAAACGTCGTACCCAGCACTACAACGTTTTAGTTTAGCTTGACGTAAGTTAAACGTCGTACCCAGCACTACAACGTTTTAGTTGGAGCTGAGGTCAGTCAAACATCGTACCCAGCACTACAACGTTTTAGTTGAGCTTGACGTCAGTTAAACGTCGTACCCAGCACTACAACGTTTTAGTTGAGCTTGACGTCAGTTAAACGTCGTACCCAGCACTACAACGTTTCAGTTGGAGCTGACGTCAGTCAAACATCGTACCCAGCACTACAACGTTTCAATTGGAGCTGACTGCTGTAGCAGCTATGGACGTGGTCCGACCAGTAGCCTTCCCTCCCCGGCATGAAGACAAATGCCCCACTGCTGCCCGGGCATGTTGCTGTCGTGTACTCAAACATGGCGTCGTTGATGCCCTTAGGTAACCTGTTGACCCACTGACCAACAGAGATGCGCTTATAGCGGCCGTGTGGGTGGGAGACGATGACAGCGAGTCTGTTCTCGTCCTTACAACCTTTGTACCTCTCACACACGTCGCTAGCCAGGCGATCGAACAGCTGTACCCGAGCTTCAAGGGGAGCTAACTTGTCGACGTCGTGAGACACACACCTGAGGAGACACCTGTCCCCGTCAACATCCACCCCTCTAGCCTCGAGCCCAGCCACATCAAACGCTGGGCTGTCGGCACTGTCAAAATCAAACGTGCAGGTGGTGCGTTGTGCTTCTACCGTGTCAAACACGCAATGTGCTGCCGTGTTGACCAGGATTTCTCCCCAACACACTCGTGGCTCACCCGACTGAACACATCCCGTACACGGGCACGGCTCGCGCTGGTGGATGCTCACGCTATCCACTCGACCACTCCCGTACAAAATGACCCTTTGGCCCCGCCTGTTGTGGTGGGGGTAGGGACGTCTTGAGTCGGGGAAAAACTCCGGCCGGTGGGGGCTGGTACGTTTGACGGTCAGCTTGACCGTGATACCAGCCAGTGCCAGGATGGCGTCCAGTAGGTCTATCATGTCTGCCGGCAGGTTGTCCTGTGTGAACGACGTGACCGGCACTAGTTGACCGTGACCGGACGGTTGACTACAGGCACTAAATCTTCCGAGTGTGTCGGCTTCATCTAGACAGTCCACCTCTGCCTCGTGATGCCCTGGAGAAAAACATGAAATAAAACGTTAAGTCTGGCACCATATGAGCTAAATCAATCTGGATGATAAGTCTGGTACCATATGAGCTAAATCAATCTGGATGATAAGTCTGGTACCATATCAGCTAAATCAATCTGGATGATAAGTCTGGTGCCATATGAGCTAAATCAATCTGGATGATAAGTCTGGTGCCATATGAGCTAAATCAATCTGGATGATAAGTCTGGTACCATATGAGCTAAATCAATCTGGATGATAAGTCTGGTACCATATGAGCTAAATCAATCTGGATGATAAGTCTGGTGCCATATGAGCTAAATCAATCTGGTTTTTTTTTCAATCGCTGCTAGGGTTAACTTGTGTACATCATAAAGGGTAAATCCATGTGTCCAATCAATCTAATAAATGATAGATAATCTGTCGATTTAGATTTAATTTACAACCGATGAAAATTGGCTTACATAATGTACCATCAAAGTCCATAGTTGATATCTTCGTTCATTCTTTCATACTTGCTGAAATAGACAAATAATAAAGCTATTTTACAGATAATAAAAAGAAAACATACAAAACAGTAATCTTTATTGGGAGTTGATACTCTCTCCAATGATAATCATCTAATTAATTCTGGCCAATCTACATTTCCTGCTAGAAGAGCCTAAGGCCTGTATAAATCCCGACCCTTTGTTCTGTCATTGGCAGTGTTGCCAGATATTCTGAGTTTTTCATGGAATTATTTCTATATTAAATCTTGCAGGTCGTGATGACATGTAGCAAGTCGCTTGAACAGGACGCCATCTTGTATGTCAGCTGCTCTGACCTCTAGATAGTTTTATCCTGATACCACTAATGCATGTTATGACATTTTTGATACAACCTTGTACAAAGTTTGCTAGATATTGAGACCAGTTGAGTTGTTCTTGATCTGGTTAGAATACAAAATACGGATTATGCACATAATTCATCTACGAGATGGCCCGTTGATAGGTTGATAGTGTTCTCTTTTCTCTAAACCAAAACCTAAATCGCCTGAAAGAAACTCTAACTGCAACAATTGTCATGATTGAGATTAGGTGCAAGGTTTAGGGGTATAGCTACGACTATATTTAGTATCATTTTGCAGTAACTACGTGTATATCAGAGTTACCAGATAAAGTATTGTGGCAATGTATAGCATCTCTACTATATGATTTTAGTTTTGGTTTTGGTTTAGAGAAAAATACAACACTATCAACCTATCGCTTGTTGTATTTCTCTCAACGGGACATTTATCTAGTATATAATTCTAAAGAATTGAATAATACTTTTTTGAAGAAATTATTCTTTTTTAATGTATAAATTAAAATTGTATATAACAAGCGTGTCATTAGTAAATGTAATAAAGTCGCATTTTACCTTAATTGATGAATATATTATGGTTCTTTTCAGTTAGTATGGTATAATAATTATTGTAAAATATGTGAACCTATTTATGTAAATGTGTTTAGTGGTAGAGAATCACTTTCTATATGTCACACCTAGGTGTCATCTATTTATAACATCCACGGGGGTCATGGGGTCCAACTTGTCTACTGGCGGCTTAGTGCTTGTAAACCTCTACAAGTTAAATGGAAACTGTTATTTCATGATACAAAATGTGTACATTTGAACTTCACTACAATGCTACAACAGTTGAACAACCAAGTTGTTGAATCCCAACTAGTTATGAAGTGAGCGATATGGATGAATCGTGGGTCATGAAGGGCGAATTAAAGCGGTCAAGAACTGTTGGTCTATATTTATTAATATTATTTATTTGTTGGTCAGAAAAAATCAGCTCCCGAAAATAAAATAATGGCGACTTACTTACCTTACATAGAGGTGACAATGATGTAAAATCGGGAAAAGCCGAAATTGTTTGTCGGGAAATCCCCGTTTACATGACAGCTGGTACACAACTAAATGTTGTCTCTAGCTGTTAAATATAGATATATCTCGAGTGATTGTATTGGTAAAAGTCTTGGTCACAGTAGCGTAGACAGGTTCAGGGGGGTCGAAGGGGGCAGGGGAGGGGAGGGGCCGCATCGGGGGACACCAGTTAGAAGGGTGACACCAAGGCAAAAACTTTCAAAATCTGCAGAAGAAATTTTTGTGGCTATTTAAATTAATGAATAATGAAAATTAAATAGTATTTTAAGGACAAATAGACAATCCCTAAGGGAAGGGGGGGGGGGGGGTGTAACACCATGACGTGAACTAGCTAACTATATAGAAAATAATGCTTATTCCTGTTTTAATATTAACATTGTTACCATTAACTGTACACAGTTTAAAGCTACCACCCGGGAGGAGGGGGCTGATGACACCAGCTGCTAAATTTAGTACGATAACGATGCTTTTTACAACTTGAATGAACAGGAGGATTGCTATAACGTTTGCACAAAATGATGTATGGCTAAATGGGAGGGGGGAGGAAAACGACCCCAATTACAACTTTCACAGACACACAACGCACAGAGCATAATGAAATACACCGTCCATTGAAAAATATATACAGTAATAAACGTTTTAAAACACATACACATGCTTAGACATAAAAATAAACATGAATATGTCAATTATATATATATATATATATATATATATATATATATATATATATATATATATATATATATATATATATATATATATATATATATATATATTTATATATATATGTATATATATATATATAAACTAAACAATCCTTACAATTAATACAAAGTACTGCACAATCATTACAATCAATAGAAAGTAATAAACAATCCTTACAATCAATAGAAAGTACTAAACAATCCTTACAATCAATACAAAGTACTAACCAGTGTTTTGAAGTGAGAGACTGTCAAAGCTCTGTGTCGCCACACGCCCGTGGGGACTAAAGTGACGTCACTTAACGCCCGGGGGGTGACTAAAGATTGATCGCCCATCTAGTGACAGGTACAGGTGACAATAAAGGTAGATCTTTGGACCAGTCCAGGTGTATAAATAGATCTAGCAAGAGTTCAAGCGACCTGTACCGTCTGGTCCACTTTACACAGCGACGTCCATTAATTTGAAATAATCAGCCTAGTTTTGTACTCAAATATTTTTTTAAAATTTCTTTAACGTATTCGCTGGTCATTGATTTAGATCCTGTAGATTAAGGACGTTAATCGAAAAGAGAATTACAACCGGAAGTGGACTGGTCACTTGGAAAACCCTGTGGATTTTGAAAGAAAATATTCTCTCGCTTATAAAAGGAAGAACTTTTCGATAGAACTTTTAGATACCACTCTACTCTTGTTACGACCTTAAATCGACGTCAACTTATAGAGATATTGAAATCTTTTTGTAGTCATGTTAAAGAATTTTTAAAGTCATCCTTTATTGAATCTGAAGTCATCTTTTGATGGTCACCTTAAAGGAATATTGAATCTGAAGTCATCCTAGTGACGTCATGTCCGGGTTCATCAACTCGTTTGGTGTTGTGGATTATGTCGTGTTTGCTGGTCTATTGGTGGTCTCTACTGCCATCGGCCTTTGGTTTGCTCTTAAGGGGGGAAAACAAAAAACTCGAGGTAAGTCAGTGGTTATATCAGGATTTGTGGTCTACAAGACTGTCTCAACTAAGATGGGGTTTTGTAAGGGTTCAGGATTTGTGGTCTATAAAACTGTCTCAACTAAGATGGGGTTTTGTAAGGGTTCAGGATTTGTGGTCTATAAAACTGTCTCAACTAAGATGGGGTTTTGTAAGGGTTCAGGATTTGTGGTCTATAAGACTGTCTCAACTAAGATGGGGTTTTGTAAGGGTTCAGGATTTGAAGTTAACCCATTTATAAGTAATTGACACATTTAGAGCAGAGTTTCATCCAGGCATCTCTTTTTTTTGGGGGGGGGGGGGGGTGGGGGAATTAGTTGATACATCTAGAGTTAGTTGACACATCTAGAGTTAGTTGACACATCTAGAATTAGTTGACACATCTAGAGTTAGTTGTCACATCTAGAGTTAGTTGACACATATAGAGTTGACACATCTACAATAAATGGACAGATTAAAATATTTCTGTTGACAAACGTTCTCTTGCTGATATAAAATATTTCTGTTGACAAATGTTCTCTTGCTGATATAAAATATTTCTGTTGACAAATGTTCTCTTGCTGATATAAAATATTTCTGTTGACAAAAGTTCTCTTGCTGATATAAAATATTTATGTTGACAAATGTTCTCTTGCTGATATAAAATATTTCTGTTGACAAAAGTTCTCTTGCTGATATAAAATATTTCTGTTGACAAATGTTCTCTTGCTGATATAAAATATTTCTGTTGACAAAAGTTCTCTTGCTGATATAAAATATTTCTGTTGACAAACGTTCTCTTGCTGATGTAACCAGGCGAATACCTGCTGGCCAACAGGAACATGTCCACACTTCCGGTGGCCATCTCCATCCTGGTCTCATTCATGTCAGCTGTCTTAATCCTCGGTCACCCAGCCGAGATGTACACACAGGTACGTCACACTGATCACACACATGTACGTCACACTGGTCACACTCTGGTACGTCACAATTGTCACTCAGGTACGTCACAATGGTCACACACAGGTACGTCACACTGGTCACACACAGGTACGTCACACTGATCACACACAGGTACGTCACAATGGTCACACACATGTACGTCACACTGGTCACACACTGGTACGTCACACTGGTCACACACAGGTACGTCACACTGGTCACACACAGGTACGTCACACTGGTCACACAGGTACGTCACACTCGTCACACACAGGTACGTCACACTGGTCACACACAGGTACGTCACACTGGTCACACAGGTACGTCACACTGGTCAAACACAGGTACGTCACACACAGGTACGTCACACTGGTCACACACAGGTACGTCACACTGGTCACACACAGGTACGTCACACTGGTCACACACAGGTACGTCACACTGTTCACACACAGGTACGTCACACTGGTCACACACAGGTACGTCACACTGGTCACACAGGTACGTCACACTGTTCACACACAGGTACGTCACACTGGTCAAACACAGGTACGTCACACACAGGTACGTCACACTGGTCACACACAGGTACGTCACACTGGTCACACACAGGTACGTCACACTGGTCAAACACAGGTACGTCACACTGGTCACACACAGGTACGTCACACACAGGTACGTCACACTGGTCACACACAGGTACGTCACACTGGTCACACAGGTACGTCACACTGGTCACACACAGGTACGTCATACTGGTCACACACAGGTACGTCACACACAGGTACGTCACACTGGTCACACACAGGTACGTCACACTGGTCACACACAGGTACGTCACACTGGTCACACACAGGTACGTCACAATGGTCACACACAGGTACGTCACACTGGTCACACACAGGTACGTCACACACAGGTACGTCACACTGGTCACACACAGGTACGTCACAATGGTCACACACAGGTACGTCACACACAGGTACGTCACACTGGTCACACACAGGTACGTCACACTGGTCACACACAGGTACGTCACACTGGTCGCACACAGGTACGTCACAATGGTCACACACAGGTACGTCACACTGGTCACACACAGGTACGTCACACAGGTCACACACAGGTACGTCACACTGGTCGCACACAGGTACGTCACACTGGTCACACACAGGTACGTCACACAGGTACGTCACACTGTTCACACACAGGTACGTCACACTGGTCACACACAGGTACGTCACACACAGGTACGTCACAATGGTCACACACAGGTACGTTACACTGGTCACACACAGGTACGTCACAATGGTCACACACAGGTACGTCACACTGGTCACACACAGGTACGTCACACTGGTCACACACAGGTACGTCACACTGTTCACACACGGGTACGTCACACTGGTCACACACAGGTACGTCACACACAGGTACGTCACACTGGTCACACACAGGTACGTCACACACAGGTACGTCACACTGGTCACACACAGGTACGTCACACTGGTCACACACAGGTACGTCACACTGGTCACACACAGGTACGTCACACTGGTCACAAACAGGTACGTCACACTGGTCACACACAGGTACGTCACACTGGTCAAACACAGGTACGTCACACTGGTCACACACAGGTACGTCACACTGGTCACACACAGGTACGTCACACACAGGTACGTCACACTGGTCACACACAGGTACGTCACACACAGGTACGTCACACTGGTCACACACAGGTACGTCACACACAGGTACGTCACACTGGTCACACACAGGTACGTCACACTGGTCACACACAGGTACGTCACACTGGTCACACACAGGTACGTCACACTGGTCAAACACAGGTACGTCACACTGGTCACACACAGGTACGTCACACTGGTCACACACAGGTACGTCACACACAGGTACGTCACACTGGTCACACACAGGTACGTCACACTGTTCACACACAGGTACGTCACACACAGGTACGTCACACTGGTCACACACAGGTACGTCACACTGGTCACACAGGTACGTCACACTGTTCACACACAGGTACGTCACACACAGGTACGTCACACTGGTCACACACAGGTACGTCACACTGGTCACACACAGGTACGTCACACTGGTCACACACAGGTACGTCACACACAGGTACGTCACACTGGTCACACACAGGTACGTCACACACAGGTACGTCACACTGGTCACACACAGGTACGTCACACTGGTCACACACAGGTACGTCACACTGGTCACACACAGGTACGTCACACTGGTCGCACACAGGTACGTCACAATGGTCACACACAGGTACGTCACACTGGTCACACACAGGTACGTCACACAGGTCACACACAGTTACGTCACACTGGTCGCACACAGGTACGTCACACTGGTCACACACAGGTACGTCACACAGGTACGTCACACTGTTCACACACAGGTACGTCACACTGGTCACACACAGGTACGTCACACACAGGTACGTCACAATGGTCACACACAGGTACGTTACACTGGTCACACACAGGTACGTCACAATGGTCACACACAGGTACGTCACACTGGTCACACACAGGTACGTCACACTGGTCACACACAGGTACGTCACACTGTTCACACACAGGTACGTCACACACAGGTACGTCACACTGGTCACACACAGGTACGTCACACTGGTCACACACAGGTACATCACACTGTTCACACACAGGTACGTCACAATGGTCACACACAGGTACGTCACACTGTTCACACACAGGTAGGTCACACTGTTCACACACAGGTACGTCACACTGTTCACACAGTTACATCACACACAGGTACGTCACACTGTTCACACAGTTACATCACACACAGGTACTTTACACAGATCTAATGCTGACATGTATGTTAGTTATACATTCTCGGTGTTTCTGTTTGTACTGTTTCAGGTTGAGTATACCATAAAGGACAATCTCAAGAAAGGATTCAGTGGATATATACTGAGCTCTACCTTTCTCTGGATGGTCTGATATCGAAACATTTTCCCCAGGGTACCAAGTTCTACATTTTCCCCAGGGTACCGAGTTCTACATTTTCCCCAGGGTACCGAGTTCTACATTTTCCCCAGGGTATCGAGTTCTACATTTTCCCCAGGGTACCGAGTTCTACATTTTCCCCAGGGTACCGAGTTCTACATTTTCCCCAGGGTACCGAGTTCTACATTTTCCCCAGGGTATCGAGTTCTACATTTTCCCCAGGGTACCGAGTTCTACATTTTCCCTAGGGTACCGAGTTCTACATTTCCCCCAGGGTACCGAGTTCTACATTTTCCCCAGGGTACCGAGTTCTACATTTTCCCCCAGGGTACCGAGTTCTACATTTTCCCCAGGGTACCGAGTTCTACATTTTCCCAGGGTACCGAGTTCTACATTTTCCCCAGGGTATCGAGTTCTACATTTTCCCCAGGGTACCGAGTTCTACATTTTCCCCAGGGTACCGAGTTCTACATTTTCCCCCAGGGTACCGAGTTCTACATTTTCCCCAGGGTACCGAGTTCTACATTTTCCCCCAGGGTACCGAGTTCTACATTTCCCCAGGGTACCGAGTTCTACATTTTCCCCAGGGTACCGAGTTCTACATTTTCCCCAGGGTACCGTGTTCTACATTTTCCCCCAGGGTACCGAGTTCTACATTTTCCCCAGGGTACCGAGTTCTACATTTTCCCCAGGGTACCGAGTTCTACATTTTCCCCAGGGTACCGAGTTCTACATTTTCCCCAGGGTACCGAGTTCTACATTTTCCCCAGGGTACCGAGTTCTACATGTCTGTGTTTGGTCTGATGTTGGGAGCTCTACTGGCGGCCATCTTTGTTGTCCCCCTACTGTTTCCACTGAAGCTAACGAGTTCGTTTGACGTGAGTTCTTTATGCTGGATTACACTGCTTGTCTCTTGTTGGTGCATTAATGTTGGATGTACATGTCTCTTTTTGGTCAAGTAATGTTGGATACACAAGTTCCTTGTTGGTTCAGTAATGTTAGATTAATAGATATTAGGAAAAATTAGATTTAAATAGAAGTTCAATAGTTATATAGAGAATATAAATGCAAATATAAAAACGTGTCTTATTGACCTGTAATGTTTGCATGTGTCCATCTAGTATTTAGAACAAAGATTCAAGTCACGCTATGCAAGGTTGGTGGGGACATTCCTGATGATGTTGTCTCAGGTAGGATATTGGTGGCGACATTCCTGATGATGTTGTCTCAGGTAGGATATTGGTGGCGACATTACTGATGATGTTGTCTCAGGTAGGAAATGGGTGGCAACATTCCTGATGATGTTGTCTCAGGTAGGATATTGGTGGGCACATTCCTGATGATGTTGTCTCAGGTAGGAAATGGGTGGCGACATTCCTGATGATGTTGTCTCAGGTAGGATATTGGTGGGGACATTCCTGATGATGTTGTCTCAGGTAGGAAATGGGTGGCGACATTCCTGATGATGTTGTCTCAGGTAGGAAATGGGTGGCGACATTACTGATGATGTTGTCTCAGGTAGGATATTGGTGGGCACATTCCTGATGATGTTGTCTCAGGTAGGAAATGGGTGGCGACATTCCTGATGATGTTGTCTCAGGTAGGAAATGGGTGGCGACATTCCTGATGATGTTGTCTCAGGTAGGAAATGGGTGGCGACATTTCTGATGATGTTGTCTCAGGTAGGATATTGGTGGCGACATTACTGATGATGTTGTCTCAGGTAGGATATTGGTGGGCACATTACTGATGATGTTGTCTCAGGTAGGATATTGGTGGGCACATTACTGATGATGTTGTCTCAGGTAGGATATTGGTGGCGACATTACTGATGATGTTGTCTCAGGTAGGATATTGGTGGCGACATTACTGATGATGTTGTCTCAGGTAGGATATTGGTGGCGACATTACTGATGATGTTGTCTCAGGTAGGATATTGGTGGGCACATTACTGATGATGTTGTCTCAGGTAGGATATTGGTGGGCACATTACTGATGATGTTGTCTCAGGTAGGATATTGGTGGCGACATTACTGATGATGTTGTCTCAGGTAGGATATTGGTGGGCACATTACTGATGATGTTGTCTCAGGTAGGATATTGGTGGGCACATTCCTGATGATGTTGTCTCAGGTAGGATATTGGTGGCGACATTACTGATGATGTTGTCTCAGGTAGGATATTGGTGGCGACATTACTGATGATGTTGTCTCAGGTAGGATATTGGTGGCGACATTACTGATGATGTTGTCTCAGGTAGGATATTGGTGGGCACATTACTGATGATGTTGTCTCAGGTAGGATATTGGTGGGCACATTCCTGATGATGTTGTCTCAGGTAGGAAATGGGTGGCGACATTCCTGATGATGTTGTCTCAGGTAGGATATTGGTGGCGACATTACTGATGATGTTGTCTCAGGTAGGATATTGGTGGCGACATTCCTGATGATGTTGTCTCAGGTAGGATATTGGTGGCGACATTACTGATGATGTTGTCTCAGGTAGGATATTGGTGGGCACATTCATGATGATATTGTCTCAGGTAGGATATTGGTGGGCACATTACTGATGATGTTGTCTCAGGTAGGATATTGGTGGCGACATTCCTGATGATGTTGTCTCAGGTAGGATATTGGTGGCAACATTCCTGATGATGTTGTCTCGGGTAGGATATTGGTGGCGACATTCCTGATGATGTTGTCTTAGGTAGGAAATGGGTGGCGACATTCCTGATGATGTTGTCTCAGGTAGGATATTGGTGGCGACATTACTGATGATGTTGTCTCAGGTAGGAAATGGGTGGCGACATTCCTGATGATGTTGTCTCAGGTAGGATATTGGTGGCGACATTCCTGATGATGTTGTCTCAGGTAGGATATTGGTGGCGACATTACTGATGATGTTATCTCAGGTAGGATATTGGTGGCGACATTACTGATGATGTTGTCTCAGGTAGGATATTGGTGGTGACATTACTGATGATGTTGTCTCAGGTAGGATATTGGTGGCGACATTCCTGATGATGTTGTCTCAGGTAGGAAATTGGTGGCGACATTCCTGATGATGTTGTCTCAGGTAGGATATTGGTGGCGACATTACTGATGATGTTGTCTCAGGTAGGATATTGGTGGTGACATTACTGATGATGTTGTCTCAGGTAGGATATTGGTGGCGACATTCCTGATGATGTTGTCTCAGGTAGGATATTGGTGGCGACATTCCTGATGATGTTGTCTCAGGTAGGATATTGGTGGCGACATTCCTGATGATGTTGTCTCAGGTAGGAAATGGGTGGCGACATTCCTGATGATGTTGTCTCAGGTAGGATATTGGTGGCGACATTACTGATGATGTTGTCTCAGGTAGGAAATGGGTGGCGACATTCCTGATGATGTTGTCTCGGGTAGGATATTGGTGGCAACATTCCTGATGATGTTGTCTCAGGTAGGATATTGGTGGGCACATTACTGATGATGTTGTCTCAGGTAGGATATTGGTGGCGACATTACTGATGATGTTGTCTCAGGTAGGATATTGGTGGCGACATTACTGATGATGTTGTCTCAGGTAGGATATTGGTGGCGACATTCCTGATGATGTTGTCTCAGGTAGGATATTGGTGGTGACATTACTGATGATGTTGTCTCAGGTAGGATATTGGTGGCGACATTCCTGATGATGTTGTCTCAGGTAGGATATTGGTGGCGACATTACTGATGATGTTGTCTCAGGTAGAATATTGGTGGCGACATTCCTGATGATGTTGTCTCAGGTAGGAAATGGGTGGCGACATTCCTGATGATGTTGTCTCAGGTAGGATATTGGTGGCGACATTACTGATGATGTTGTCTCAGGTAGGATATTGGTGGCGACATTACTGATGATGTTGTCTCAGGTAGGATATTGGTGGTGACATTACTGATGATGTTGTCTCAGGTAGGATATTGGTGGCGACATTCCTGATGATGTTGTCTCAGGTAGGATATTGGTGGCGACATTACTGATGATGTTGTCTCAGGTAGGATATTGGTGGCGACATTACTGATGATGTTGTCTCAGGTAGGATATTGGTGGTGACATTACTGATGATGTTGTCTCAGGTAGGATATTGGTGGCGACATTCCTGATGATGTTGTCTCAGGTAGGATATTGGGGCGACATTACTGATGATGTTGTCTCAGGTAGGATATTGGTGGCGACATTCCTGATGATGTTGTCTCAGGTAGGATATTGGTGGCGACATTACTGATATGTTGTCTCAGGTAGGATATTGGTGGCGACATTACTGATGATGTTGTCTCAGGTAGGATATTGGTGGCGACATTCCTGATGATGTTGTCTCAGGTAGGATATTGGTGGCGACATTACTGATATGTTGTCTCAGGTAGGATATTGGTGGCGACATTACTGATGATGTTGTCTCAGGTAGGATATTGGTGGTGACATTACTGATGATGTTGTCTCAGGTAGGATATTGGTGGCGACATTCCTGATGATGTTGTCTCAGGTAGGATATTGGTGGTGACATTACTGATGATGTTGTCTCAGGTAGGATATTGGTGGCGACATTCCTGATGATGTTGTCTCAGGTAGGATATTGGTGGCGACATTACTGATGATGTTGTCTCAGGTAGAATATTGGTGGCGACATTCCTGATGATGTTATCTCAGGTAGGATATTGGTGGCGACATTACTGATGATGTTGTCTCAGGTAGGAAATGGGTGGCGACATTCCTGATGATGTTGTCTCAGGTAGGAAATGGGTGGCGACATTCCTGATGATGTTGTCTCAGGTAGGATATTGGTGGCGACATTACTGATGATGTTGTCTCAGGTAGGATATTGGTGGGCACATTACTGATGATGTTGTCTCAGGTAGGATATTGGTGGGCACATTACTGATGATGTTGTCTCAGGTAGGATATTGGTGGCGACATTACTGATGATGTTGTCTCAGGTAGGATATTGGTGGCGACATTACTGATGATGTTGTCTCAGGTAGGATATTGGTGGCGACATTACTGATGATGTTGTCTCAGGTAGGATATTGGTGGGCACATTACTGATGATGTTGTCTCAGGTAGGATATTGGTGGGCACATTACTGATGATGTTGTCTCAGGTAGGATATTGGTGGCGACATTACTGATGATGTTGTCTCAGGTAGGATATTGGTGGGCACATTACTGATGATGTTGTCTCAGGTAGGATATTGGTGGGCACATTCCTGATGATGTTGTCTCAGGTAGGATATTGGTGGCGACATTACTGATGATGTTGTCTCAGGTAGGATATTGGTGGGCACATTACTGATGATGTTGTCTCAGGTAGGATATTGGTGGGCACATTCCTGATGATGTTGTCTCAGGTAGGAAATGGGTGGCGACATTCCTGATGATGTTGTCTCAGGTAGGATATTGGTGGCGACATTACTGATGATGTTGTCTCAGGTAGGATATTGGTGGCGACATTCCTGATGATGTTGTCTCAGGTAGGATATTGGTGGCGACATTACTGATGATGTTGTCTCAGGTAGGATATTGGTGGGCACATTCCTGATGATATTGTCTCAGGTAGGATATTGGTGGGCACATTACTGATGATGTTGTCTCAGGTAGGATATTGGTGGCGACATTCCTGATGATGTTGTCTCAGGTAGGATATTGGTGGCAACATTCCTGATGATGTTGTCTCGGGTAGGATATTGGTGGCGACATTCCTGATGATGTTGTCTTAGGTAGGAAATGGGTGGCGACATTCCTGATGATGTTGTCTCAGGTAGGATATTGGTGGCGACATTACTGATGATGTTGTCTCAGGTAGGAAATGGGTGGCGACATTCCTGATGATGTTGTCTCAGGTAGGATATTGGTGGCGACATTCCTGATGATGTTGTCTCAGGTAGGATATTGGTGGCGACATATCTGATGATGTTATCTCAGGTAGGATATTGGTGGCGACATTACTGATGATGTTGTCTCAGGTAGGATATTGGTGGTGACATTACTGATGATGTTGTCTCAGGTAGGATATTGGTGGCGACATTCCTGATGATGTTGTCTCAGGTAGGAAATTGGTGGCGACATTCCTGATGATGTTGTCTCAGGTAGGATATTGGTGGCGACATTACTGATGATGTTGTCTCAGGTAGGATATTGGTGGTGACATTACTGATGATGTTGTCTCAGGTAGGATATTGGTGGCGACATTCCTGATGATGTTGTCTCAGGTAGGATATTGGTGGCGACATTCCTGATGATGTTGTCTCAGGTAGGATATTGGTGGCGACATTCCTGATGATGTTGTCTCAGGTAGGAAATGGGTGGCGACATTCCTGATGATGTTGTCTCAGGTAGGATATTGGTGGCGACATTACTGATGATGTTGTCTCAGGTAGGAAATGGGTGGCGACATTCCTGATGATGTTGTCTCGGGTAGGATATTGGTGGCGACATTCCTGATGATGTTGTCTCAGGTAGGATATTGGTGGCGACATTACTGATGATGTTGTCTCAGGTAGGATATTGGTGGCGACATTACTGATGATGTTGTCTCAGGTAGGATATTGGTGGCGACATTACTGATGATGTTGTCTCAGGTAGGATATTGGTGGGCACATTACTGATGATGTTGTCTCAGGTAGGATATTGGTGGGCACATTACTGATGATGTTGTCTCAGGTAGGATATTGGTGGCGACATTACTGATGATGTTGTCTCAGGTAGGATATTGGTGGGCACATTACTGATGATGTTGTCTCAGGTAGGATATTGGTGGGCACATTCCTGATGATGTTGTCTCAGGTAGGATATTGGTGGCGACATTACTGATGATGTTGTCTCAGGTAGGATATTGGTGGGCACATTACTGATGATGTTGTCTCAGGTAGGATATTGGTGGGCACATTCCTGATGATGTTGTCTCAGGTAGGAAATGGGTGGCGACATTCCTGATGATGTTGTCTCAGGTAGGATATTGGTGGCGACATTACTGATGATGTTGTCTCAGGTAGGATATTGGTGGCGACATTCCTGATGATGTTGTCTCAGGTAGGATATTGGTGGCGACATTACTGATGATGTTGTCTCAGGTAGGATATTGGTGGGCACATTCCTGATGATATTGTCTCAGGTAGGATATTGGTGGGCACATTACTGATGATGTTGTCTCAGGTAGGATATTGGTGGCGACATTCCTGATGATGTTGTCTCAGGTAGGATATTGGTGGCAACATTCCTGATGATGTTGTCTCGGGTAGGATATTGGTGGCGACATTCCTGATGATGTTGTCTTAGGTAGGAAATGGGTGGCGACATTCCTGATGATGTTGTCTCAGGTAGGATATTGGTGGCGACATTACTGATGATGTTGTCTCAGGTAGGAAATGGGTGGCGACATTCCTGATGATGTTGTCTCAGGTAGGATATTGGTGGCGACATTCCTGATGATGTTGTCTCAGGTAGGATATTGGTGGCGACATTACTGATGATGTTATCTCAGGTAGGATATTGGTGGCGACATTACTGATGATGTTGTCTCAGGTAGGATATTGGTGGTGACATTACTGATGATGTTGTCTCAGGTAGGATATTGGTGGCGACATTCCTGATGATGTTGTCTCAGGTAGGAAATTGGTGGCGACATTCCTGATGATGTTGTCTCAGGTAGGATATTGGTGGCGACATTACTGATGATGTTGTCTCAGGTAGGATATTGGTGGTGACATTACTGATGATGTTGTCTCAGGTAGGATATTGGTGGCGACATTCCTGATGATGTTGTCTCAGGTAGGATATTGGTGGCGACATTCCTGATGATGTTGTCTCAGGTAGGATATTGGTGGCGACATTCCTGATGATGTTGTCTCAGGTAGGAAATGGGTGGCGACATTCCTGATGATGTTGTCTCAGGTAGGATATTGGTGGCGACATTACTGATGATGTTGTCTCAGGTAGGAAATGGGTGGCGACATTCCTGATGATGTTGTCTCGGGTAGGATATTGGTGGCGACATTCCTGATGATGTTGTCTCAGGTAGGATATTGGTGGCGACATTACTGATGATGTTGTCTCAGGTAGGATATTGGTGGCGACATTACTGATGATATTGTCTCAGGTAGGATATTGGTGGCGACATTCCTGATGATGTTGTCTCAGGTAGGATATTGGTGGCGACATTCCTGATGATGTTGTCTCAGGTAGGATATTGGTGGCGACATTACTGATGATGTTGTCTCAGGTAGGATATTGGTGGCGACATTACTGATGATGTTGTCTCAGGTAGGATATTGGTGGTGACATTACTGATGATGTTGTCTCAGGTAGGATATTGGTGGCGACATTCCTGATGATGTTGTCTCAGGTAGGATATTGGTGGCGACATTACTGATGATGTTGTCTCAGGTAGGATATTGGTGGTGACATTACTGATGATATTGTCTCGGGTAGGATATTGGTTGCGACATTCCTGATGATGTTGTCTCAGGTAGGATATTGGTGGCGACATTACTGATGATGTTGTCTCAGGTAGGAAATGGGTGGCGACATTCCTGATGATGTTGTCTCAGGTAGGATATTGGTGGCGACATTCCTGATGATGTTGTCTCAGGTAGGATATTGGTTGCGACATTACTGATGATGTTGTGTAGTTTCTCAAGTCGGTTAAGTGGTGGTGGACATGGTTTATTAAAATATCGGTTTTTTTACCCACCCATTTAGTAATATAACATTTTTGTCTTTTTTTTTATATTTTGTTTTCTATTATGTCTCGAAAATATTTACGGTAATAATAAAATAATTATAGTTATGCACAAAACAATAAAACATTTATAGTTATCCACAAATTATTCAAATGTTTAAAGTAATCAATTAAATGTTGAAAATGTTTATATTCATCCATTAAAACTTATAAATGTTCAGTTATCCAGTAAATATTGAATATGTTTAGAGTTATCCAGTAAATATTGAAAATGTTTAGAGTTGTCCAAAAAATGTTGATAATGTTTTAGAGTTGTCCAATAAATGTTGAAAATGTTTAGAGTTGTCCAGTAAATATTGAAAATGTTTAGAGTTATCCAAAAAATGTTGATGTTTAGAGTTGTCCAATAAATGTTGATAATGTTTTGAGTTGTCTAGTAAATGTTGAAAATTTTTAGAGTTGTCCAGTAAATGTTGATAATGTTTAGAGTTGTCCAGTAAATGTTGATAATGTTTAGAGTTGTCCAATAAACGTTGATAATGTTTAGAGTTGTCCAATAAATGTTGATAATGTTTAGAGTTGTCCAGTAAATGTTGATAATGTTTAGAGTTGTCCAGTAAATGTCACCACTATTCTCCAGACCATCTACATGGGCATCACGTGCTATGGTCCAGCTACAGCTCTTAAGGCAGGTCAGTGCCCAGCATGTTGCTTGGTTCGGCAGTCCTGTGAGCTCTGATTTTAATTGATTGAAAGATGAGTTACAATCCAATCAAATCAACATTCCAATTTTTGAATCCGCTATTAACTTTTTTTTTTCATTTCGTTTTATGGGTATGCTAAATTTTAATCACAATATTACCGATTTAACCTATTCCATTGAAAAAACAATACCAAATTTAAGGACCAAACTTATTTAGGGGCGGATTAAGCTTGAGCAGGGCCCCCGGCTGAAAATTTTTGCCCCCAAAAATTTTCAGCCGGGGGCCCTGTTCAAGCTTAATCCGCCCCTAAATTTTATATATATATATATATATATATATATATATATATATATATATATATATATATATATATATATAAATATATATATATATATATATATATAAATATATATATATATATATATATATATATATATATATATATATATATATATATATATATATATATATATATATATATACTTAGATATTTCGTAAAAAGTATATGGAAGATTGTGATGCAAAAATTAAAACTAGTTTGTTCAGTGAAAACCAACAATTATGCAGTAAATTAGGGGGCCTCTAAACATCCCCCCCCCCTTTAATCCGCTACCGCTTTATCGTATGAATTTATCATAACCCCCATATTTATTTAATGTCTAAACCGACATACTATTAGACATCACTTTTAATATAAATGAAACATAACCCATAAATCGTATTACAAATATTGCATAACAAATCAATACAAAATCAATTAGTTAGAGTATCGAAGTTAGCAGCCACGTCGAAGCATCGAGTGATATGTTGATTTTTTTATTTTCCAATGTGGTGTCACCCCAATTCTTACATTGGACGTGTTTTTCGTTCTGATCTGATCAGTACATTGTTTGTTCCCATTGGCGTTACCCCCCCCCCCCCCCTCTTGTCACAATTAACCAGTCACTCTGTTAAACAAGATACCACCAACTTAACACCAGACATAAATCCCTCTCGTATCCTTGTGCTTCCTTGCTTTACTTTCATGCTTTTTGTTTTGGTTTCAGTGACTGGCTTCCCTCTGTGGGCCACCATTTTAAGTATTGGAGCTGTCGCCACTTTCTACTCAGCTCTCGTAAGTCTTTCAACATTTCTGTCACTAAGTATAAAGATGGCCGCTATGTCAGCTGATAGCTCCCTAGTCTACTACAGAAAACTGTCCAGAAAACTGAATGTTTATCCTAGGGTGGGATTAAAGCTGTCATCTGGACGGATGTGTTTCAAGCTGTCATGATGTTGGCTGGTCTGCTGGCTGTTGTCATTCAAGTAAGTTGTAAGCTGTCATCAGTGTTTCTTCCAGACTTTTTTCTCCGGGGGGGGGGGGGGCACTTGAAATTTTCGGGGGGGGGGGGGGCGGTAGACTTTCTTCGGGGGGGGGGCGGACACTGTTAAAAGTATATATTTTCTATATAAATTATATAAATTTCATTTCGTTTCGTACGGGGGGAGGGGGGGCGGTAAATTTTTTTCGGGGGGGGGGGGGGGGGGGGGGGGGCAAAGCCTGGAAGAAACTCTGGCTGTCATGATGTTGCTGCAATGTGTAAACCAATGAGCCTGCTGACGTCACACGCTGGTTGATGACGACACGCCTAAGGTTGGTTGAAATAAGAACACAACACGGTGACGTGTTGACAAATCACATGACTGGCCTATCCTTTCTTTTATTTTTGAGGTGTCAAAAGATTTTATGGGGATTAAAATAAGGTAAGTATTCCCTCAAGCTTACTCTAATCGAATTAATCAATGGCTAATTAATGTAATTGCTTCATCTTGTACAGGGTACATTAAAAGTGGGCGGAGCATCGCGTGTATGGAGCCTCAACGACCGCTGGGAGAGAATTCAATTTTTTAAGTGGGTGTAGACAATAGTAGACAATAGCAGACAATAGTAGACAATAGTAGACAGTAAACAAAAGTAGACAATAGTATACAGTAGTAGACAATAGTAGACAATAGTAGACAATAGTAGACAAAAGTAGACAATAGTAGACAATAGTAGACAATAGTAGACAAAAGTAGACAATAGTAGACAATAGTAGACAATATCAGACAATAGCAGACAAGAACAGACAATATCAGACAATAGTAGACAATAGCAGACAATAGCAGACAAAAGTAAACAATAGTAGACAATAGTAGACAATAGTAGACAATATCAGACAATAGTAGACAATAGCAGACAATAGCAGATAATAGCAGACAATAGCAGACAAAAGTATGACGCCCACAACAATTTCGGACTTTAGTCCCTCCTCCCCCCCCCCCCCCCCCTTTTTTTTTCCTCCCTCCCTCCCCCCCTCGTCCACACGCGTCCACTTTCGACGAACCCCATCCCCCCACATGCGGACGTGCACAACAATTTAGTAGATCTCGATAAACCAACTACCAATTTACTATTTCAATAACATATATTGTGTTCATAACTAATATACGGCTTTAATACTTTCCATGTCATTATGAGGCC